TGAAAACTGCAGCATTAAAGCATGCCTCTGCTTTTGGTCCTCATCTATGGCCCTTTTAACACATCTACCAAATAGTAGTTATTGTTTTTGTAAGCCACTGTCATCAAAAAGGAATTTATTATTATTGGTTAGGTGGTAGAAATAGTTTTAGGTCTAAAAAAAGAAAACATACCTAAATACAATTAAAATTAATAGAACATTCTAGCAACAGTCTGCGATAGTCAGTTGTATATGGTTGTATCCATAAAGAAAGCCTAATAATTATACAGATTGTTAACTGGACGGTTACTTATTGGAGAACAGAATGGCCACACTGCCTACATTCCAAATAAGTACTAAGCTAAACTGCCGACTCGTCCCGTCGCACAGTGCTTCGTCCCATGGACAAAAATCGAAAAAAAAGTTAAAATTTACTAATATCTGAATATGTAATTTTATACTTATAGCAATGTTGAACCATCCTGGTATATTATTTTTCATAAACACCGTTTTTTTGTTAGCAAATAATTTCACTAAAAATAAATTTTGCGATCATTATCTTATATCAATGAAAAGAATAACATTCATAGTAGTTCTGTATATGGAGTTAAACGTAAACGAGTTAGTACGTACTTAATTGAAAGCCACTATGGATATTGTTAAACAAGGTATGTACTTTAAATTTATTTCTAAACAAGTTCGTTATTGTTTAGTTTTTATTTATTTTTTAAAATGATTCTTAAATGGGTATAAAAATTTTACGTTTTCAAACTTCAAAAAGGCATTTAAAAAAAACATATCAAAACATATCGTATTTATTGAATATTTTTGTTGTCATATTCATACACTTTTAATTTTTGTATAGTTCACCTGCGTCTGCTTGCGACGAACTTTATTTTATAATACTTTTCAGATGGAGTAAAATTGATAAGCATATGCCGATCTGGTTAATACTTGGCTTGATCATAAGGACAAGAACTCAAAATTATTTGTATTTCAAAAAATGTGTTCTTTATTAGATATTGATATTGATAACATTCCAGTCAAATGAGACCATTTGTGCCTGAAAAAGCCCACTATTTTGGAGCGAAACGTCGCATAAAAAGTTTCCATCTTTCAATTTATTATAGAACCTCATACCCAAGAAAACGAAAAAATAATATATTGATATGGTCTATTAAAGAGGTAACTATTAACATCCGAACCCCTCATACCAACAAAAAGAACAGTAACAACGCGAAAAAGTAACATATTTGAAAATGATGTACAGAAATATCTTATATGTGCGGATATTTCATCTACCTGTGATTTGGATACTATAAATTTGGAAGATTCTGTCAGCAGTGATTCTTCTGAATCGGAGTAGTTACGATCTATGCATTTTGTTGTCCTAAAGTAAATTTATAGTATCTTGAGTTTTTTTTTTAATTAAATATAGCATTAATGTTGCTTTTTCATTAAAGAAAAACATTTTTATCTTATATTGGCTTATATTGTAGGAATCATGTTCTAATGTTATTCCAATTCTTTTTTATCACAGGGATTTATTTAATACTTACACCGTTTTCATACTATAAATTATTATTTCCTTAGATGGAACACAGCTCCCACATTTTTATTATTTATAAGATTTTTTTTCATAAACGTAGGACTAAGAACATCATCATTTAGTACAATGAGAGTACTCATCATTTGTATCAAATAAACCTAGTTTGAATAAATAAAAGAGAAGTTTTACATTTTTGTCCTCTAGAGCCATATGTTCGAAGCACTGTGCAGTGTGCGTCGCGTCGCGTCGTCTCTCGACGAGCGGGCCGAGGTTGCCATATTTCAACCACAAAGCTCTTGCCGCGAGTAATAAACAAATTAACAACCTGTATATAGTTCGCATATCAAATAAACTTTTAATCACGTGATTAAGCTTGGCCGGCACAGCGTTGCCCACTTTTACATATTTTCTTTTAATTAAAATATTTTAGGAAATAAAAATAAATTAATTATAAATATATAAAGAGTTATTATTTACATCAACAAAACGCACACCCAGTGTTCAATGGGGAATTCATATATCTTCAAAATATTATTAAGGTTGCCTGCCCCTCAAACAAAGATTTTCCTAGATATTTTCATTTTTTATGATTTTGCGTCAGTAAATCTTTATTATTTGAAAAAATCTAAATGGCTGTGTTAATTTAACAAAAACTAAAGGATAAAATTGTAATAAAAAGATACATGTTTAAAACTTTAAAACATATTTTAATTATCACATAATTAAAACTAGATATAAATTTATAATTATGTAACAAAAATTAGCTAAATGAAGCAAAATTATGTTCTTTTCAAAAGATCTTTTCATGTTAAAAGGCATGCGTGGAGTTCTACTTCGAAAAACAGCCACAATAATTTCTCTCATATTGTGGACAATACCGACAATAGTTGGTCGAGTTTTTTAAACCCCCCTGTGTGTCTTTAATATATTCCTATAAAAAAAACCAGACTAGATAAAATCAGGAGCATTTAAGTATTCTATTAATTGGTGAATGCACACTGTATTCACCAACTAATGGAATTATAACAATTCTCTCTGATTTAGGATAGTTTTGGAGTTACAAGGTATTAGCCTTGTATTAGGTGTAAGTTGAGTATAATTTTTTTTTAAATTAATAACTTAAAAATTATCAACAGAAACTTTAATTTTTAAATGGGACACCCTGTATATTTTTAATTCATTGGAAATAATTTAAAATTATCTTTCCAAACATATGGCATACTTGCTCGATTCCTCTTCGAGATATAGATTTTTTTAAAATTCGTCCACTTTGAATAAGTAGGCTTTGAACGGCACCGGCTGATGTAATGCAAAAGAATTCTGAAGAAATAGCTGTGAGTAGCGATTAAAACGAATATAATATTTGCAATGAGAGATGCATAATTTTATAACAATTTAAACTATATTTAACAACATCAAAACACATTTAAACTATATCTAATAACAATAAACATTAATAGCAAACCAAGACATGAGATTTTGCTACAAGTGTTCAATATGTCGACCATCTTCTGTTATGGACAGACCTTAGATTATATTACTACTTATTACTTACTCTCAGGGATAGACGGGACCGTTTTTGAACATTTCACGCGGAATTATCATTAAGTCAGTGGGTGTGAAAAATACACTCGCATAACCACTAAGAACTTCTAATTCTGGTCTAGATTATACGAGTAATTTAAAAATAAGAACCTTATTTATTCTTCCGCAAAGATAAAAATCCATAGGCACTAAGACCGGCGGCCTCGATGGCCAACGGCTGGGATCTTAGGGTTAGCTATTCAATTATTCTCGAAATTGGTTGCAAAAATTTGCTGATAACTTTAGCTTCCTGAGGCGTTGCCTCGTTTTGCTGGAAAAATATGGTTTCGAGTTCTATTAGGGGCAAATCATCAATAAGGGGTTCAAAACCTACTATATCACACAGATAACATATGTTATCTCTGTGCTAGGTACTAGTTAAAAGTGGTGAACTGTCTTTTAAAGAGGACTAACAAAATATCTAGTGTGCTATATTTTTGGAAAGGCAATTTTAAGTTATTTGCATTTAATTAAAAATATACAGGGTGTCCCAGATAAAAAATCAATTTTTCTGTTGATAACTCTTTTAAATTATTAATTTTAAAAACATTATACTTAAACCGTTAAATTCTACGTAAAAAGGTGTTTTGAAAATGTTTTTATAAAAATACAAAATTTTCCATAGTAAAAAATTTACAGCGATTTTTTGAAAATGCACAATTTTGAAAAACACCCCGTAACTCATACACGGTAACAGATATCGATGTGCGGTTTTCACCTTCATGTTTTTGATAAAAATTGAGCTCCAGACACCGATATTAGTTTTCGTCTATCTCCTATAGAAAAGTGTTTCCCTTTAAAGGCATCGAATTTGACTCACCCTGTACATTTCGTGTTGTGTATTAAACAAAAACAAATTCAAATCGACCGCAACATTCAAAGAGAAAAACATAATTGACCAGTTCCAAATAACTTTCAAAACCAAATAAACCAGACAATGGTGTCTGAACAGAAACGATCTTAATCTACGGTTCGAGAGATTATTACGTCCGAAAAAATATTTATTAAACAAACAAACGTTTTGTGTCGGTAAATATATAGAACAGAAAAAGGCTCCGCGCCATGGTTTCAATTTGAATTCCTATAACAGTCGGTCCCTTTCAACTTGAATAGGGCATCCCAATAAGAGATTTTGTATGAAGTTGATGTCTAAAGAATTATCAATTGGGTTTTCTTCGCTCCTGCTGAAAGGTAATTCAATTTTAATAAACGATGTTCAGATAAAATGACTCACGTTGCTAGATACTTTCCTATAGGTAACTTACTTACTCCCTTTTTGTTGCGGTTTCTATTTTACAACATCAATTACTTCTCTCATTACTATAAAATTATAGCTACTGCCAAATGGAAAGCAATAATCTCCTGCTGGGAAGACTAAAACTTTGCTGCAAAGCAGACTCCCCTACGATTTAACTAGCAGAAAAATAATTTAGTATACCAGAGTAATTTAAAAAGTTAAAAAAAACGACTTCTCCGCCCATATAACACACAATATCCGCAGGATATTCATAGAATGTCGGAATGTCCCATTATAAGATCATCTTATAAAGACATCTATAGGATATCCTCCAGACATCCTGAAATCCTGTAGATGTCTCAGAATAGAATATCCTATGGATATCTCTGTCGTATATCTAATGTTCATCCAGCTGAGATATCCAAACATGCTCATGATAATAAAATATCCTAGCAATATCGTCTAGATATTTAGGAAAAATAAATAATGTACTACTTTTTATATTACATAAAATGCAATAAACCATACAGATAGATATATTTACGTCAAGGCAACAAAATATCCTGTTGGTATCTTCTGGATAGGTAGGTATTAGTTATTTTTACTATATAGCAACTGCTGCTATATTTACTATTATTATCATCAGGTAGACATTCGAGTCCCTGGGTTTGGGAATAGTGAAACTGTGGAATGGCTAGACCCAAGTCATGCTGCCACAGGCCTGTATTTTAATATTGTTGCTGCCACTTTATCAGCAATGGGGTATAACAGGAATACAAGTATTAGAGGAGCACCATACGACTTCAGAAAAGCACCTAGTGAGTAAAATTTAATGAGAATATTCTAAAATATTGTTCTAATCAAAATTATGTTTTATTTATGTATCAGATGAAAACCAGGACTACTTTGTGAAACTTAAAAAATTGATTGAAGACACTTACGAAGAAAACAATAACACTTCTATAATGTTAATAGCACATTCGATGGGCGGTCCTATGTCACTATATTTCTTAAATCAACAAAGTCAAGCCTGGAAAGACAAGTATATCAAAAGATTGGTTACTCTTAGTGGTGCTTGGGGTGGATCAGTCAAAGCTATCAAAGTATATGCTATTGGTTGGTAAAAAATATATTCTGTGATACTAATTTGAGAGTTATATTTATGAAAAATGCTTTGATAGGTGATGACTTGGGTTCTTATATTTTAAGAGAGAGTGTGATGCGAGCTGAGCAGATAACCTCACCTAGTTTGGCATTTCTGCTCCCATCTCCACTATTTTGGAAGCCTGATGAAGTTCTTGTGCAAACTGAAAAAAAGAATTATACTCTAAGTAATTTAGAGGAGTTTTTTATGTAAGTTGTTGTTTTTAACTGTTGCTGAGGCTTTAATAATATTTTTTCTCTATTATTGATTGGAAAAGTTAAGGTTTTATCCAAAAAAAATTGTTTTTAGTGGTATATCCTTTCCTGATGGTTGGGAAATGAAAAAAGATGTGGAACCGTTTAAGCTAAATTTTAAGCCTCCAGGTGTTGAAGTACATTGTCTTTATGGTTCCCAGGTAGATACAGTAGAAAAGTAAGTATATACATATATAGTTATTAAAATAGTATATTGTTTTATTAGGAGTGAAAATGATACTTTTTGTGGCGAGGCTGTAAGTTTGACATTACAGGTGAGGCACAAAAAGTAATTTTTACTCCGAATAGAACATGCTATTTTTTCAAACATTCACAAGTAATTTTTTAAACCATTTCAAATGTTGCAAATAATATAAAAATATTTAAAAGTAATACTTTTTTACAATACAATAATATAATATCAACATAAGTATCAATGAAAAATAACAGGTAACAAAAAAAAGAAGAAATTGCATTTTTCTTCCTTCCCAACCAATACTTTCATTCTTTTCTTCTTATTTCACCATAATAATGTTATATTTCTTCACGATATCAATAAAAACACAATCTAAGACAATAAATCAAATTTTTATGATAGTCATTAACAGAAACCAGCATTTTTAAAGGCACTTTACAAATTCGAAAAAAGTATTTTTTTGCTTTTCATAATATTTTTTTTACGCGTAAATCGTAATTTTTCTACGCGTACATCCCTGAAAAAAACTTAACCACCGGCTAGGGAATGCAATCCCGCACCAAAATCTCAATCTTGCAAACTTGCGGGATCAAAGCAATCAATCCCGCGGATCCGCAAAATTGCGGGACTAAAAATTGTAAATTTGCGGTAAAAAAGATTCTTAACCAAAATTTCACACTCTTATAAAACACCCTGTATACGAGAATTCGCTAAATATATTTTCGAAAACCACATAGCATCTTAATCATAATAGATGCATCTAAAACCTGGTCCAAACCGCATCCCAAAATCTTTTTTAGTTCAAGAGATATTCAACTTTAAATTTACCCTAAAATTTTGCTTGTCCCGATAATTATGTCCGGCAGTTTTTTGACGAAATTGTCCACAAGTACTAGTTAAACGCTTTTCTTCACTTACGCACATACGCCAGAAAGAAATCAAACAATGTTTGTTTCACTTAATGGCCAAGCCGTAAGGAGAATCCCCCGGGTTCCGAGCGTCGACGCATCGGCCCGGAACGAAGCGGTTTAACCTTGATCGAGATCGATATAGAACCCAGTAGTAAAGTGTCGATCTCGCGGATTCCGCACGGTAAATCCCGCAACTTTGATCCCGCGGAATCTCAGAGGGATCCCGCATTTGCGGGATCCAGCATTTGCGGGATTGCATTCCCTGCCACCGACCGGCGTTATTATAATCTTACAACCTCAAAAAACAAATAGCGACTTATAAGAGTATGTTATAGGCTTTACTACAAACCAGGAACTTGGTTGGATGGCTATCCAACTCTTTTATATGGCGACGGTGACGGTACTGTCAATCTAAGGTCGTTACAGGCTTGTCAGCACTGGCAATCCTTGCAAAAACAAAAGGTTTTTTACCAAGCTGTACCAAAAACCGACCATCTGGGTATATTGTATGGCAAAACCACGCAAGACTATATTGCCAATCTTGTTAAAACTGACGAACCATCGGTTGAAATTCCCAAGCACTACAATCATAGCATTTTGGATAAATTGTTACATTTGCAAAGATTGAATAAGCTTATGGGAAATAGTAGTAAATTTGACAGACTTTTAAACGTTAATGATGTATAATTAAGAGATGAGTGGATATAAAAATGTATAATTATGAATTTTTAAAGGTTCTTATAGGATTTATATTAACCTAGGAGTGTCTTTCGGAGTTATCATTGACTGATACCTACATTGTAGTAGTTAGAGTCCCTAGATATATAGGTACTTTAATTGTAGTGATTGGTAAGCATGACTCTCAACCTCAAGATGTAATTTTTTTATATAGAGTTAAGATGATTGTATATCTGGTTGCCAAATTAAATTACATATTGTAGAGAAATCAATCAAAAGAAAATAATAAGAAATATTAAATAATTTTTAGGAAAAAAATATTCTTCTGATTGTCTTTTTAGTCTTCCTAGTCAAGAAATTGACTTTATTTTCTTTATAAATAGCAAAATATAATTTTACTTTTAGATGATTTTAGTTTTTGCTCTGTATCGAATAACATGTACCAAATTTATTATACTAAAAAGTGTACATAAAACTGATCATATTTAGGTATCTGTGAATTCCTAAAATATTGCTAATAGAATTTTTGTGATATTTACTTCATTGAGATTACCCATGTTTGATATTATGCTCTCTTGTCTGATTTATATATTTTTATGTACATATACACATGTGATTAGTTTTAATCGTAAGTGAGAAATATTGTTAAAAGCTGTGTAGTATTACTCACCAGATTGTAAACTTACCAATCAATTTTAGGAATCAACATTTTTTTATGGCTTGAATTTCAATATTCTGGTGATTAATTTTTATAATAAAATAACAATTTATTTATTTCTGTTTCCAATATAGTTAAAAAACTTGGTGAATATTACTGTATAAAGTTCTTATTTACTAGATTTTTAAATGTATTAAATAACTTTAATAAAAAAAGATAATAAATCAAAACTACCGATTTTTGACTTAAAGATCTGTTTTTAGAATTAAGTTTGTTATTGTTTTTTATCTGTATTAAATATTAAAGATACACATTAAATACTTACTGTTTCTTTTTTTAACTCCAATTAGTGTTCTGTTACTTTACTGATACACCTTCTTGATAAATGATATATGTAATGTAATGCAATAAATTTCACATATCACCTCTATAGGCTACACACTTTCTGTGCTTTTAAATGGCTGTACTTGAAATTACCTCTACACTTCTTATGTGCAGATTTTGGAAGAACTCCTCCATAGGTAAAGAATATACCGGGTGTTTCACAAAAGTGGCTCACCCCTATAACTTCTTTATTTTTTCAGTTAAAAAAACAACATATATGACATAAATTAGGACTGATTGACGTATTCAATTATTTTCAGCCACTTCCTTTTTCACCGGAAATGACTAAAACTTTTGATTTTTAAATGACGATTCTTGATATTGTTTTACTTTACATGATAGAAAATGGCATTTTGAATAGAATGACATATGTCAACTTTTGACATTTTCAAATTAAAAAAATAGCATTTTAAAATTCAATTTAGAGTGCCATGACCATAAATGTAACTACAATTCGACTCGAAATACCAAGGGTACGGTACCAAATTATTCGTAAAAAATACCTTTTCTAAATATGCTAATGAGCCATCCTCATTAGAAGATCAAATCTATTTTTCCAAAGCTCCCTGAAAAAATAGTACTTTTAGCACAGCCATGACACTCTAGACTGAAGTTTAAAATACAATTTTTTAAGTGAGACTGTCAAAAGTTAACATATTTATGATGTCATTCTATACAGAATATCATTTTCTATCGATTAAAGTAAAAAAAATACTGAGGATGCCATTTAAAAATCAAAAGTTAGAGTAATTTCCGGTGAAACAAAGTGATCAAAAACTATTAAATATGCCAACCAACCTTGATTTATATCATAAACTAACGTACCAAGTATCGTGTATTTATCTTAAAAAATCAAAAAATTATAGGGGTGAGCCACTTTTGAGAAACACCCGGTATATACTAGTGATGTGTCGGTGTTTGAGTAATGCGATTTTGGAGCGGTATTTTTTCTTAACGTCGTGTCGCGCTCCACAACGAATCAGGAACCTGTTACTGAAGCACGACGATCATAATGACTACAAAATTATAAATTATTTATAATTTGCAAATAAATTATTTATAATCGCACTTGAAGTTAGCTCGAACCGTAGTAACCGCATAGCGACGTGTTTAGCTCCAACCGTCGCGATTTCGTCGGTCGCCAACAGTAGTAACTGGTATGTCCGTAGCGCCGCGCGATCTCGATCGGGACGTGTTCGCTCCAGCCGTCGCGCTCCTAGAGTTGTAGTTCCCTATCGCGAACAGAAGTAACTGCTGTAACTGGGCATCGACGCTCGACCTCGGCGGTGACCTACTTCGCTCCAGCCGTCGCGCTCCTAGAGTTTTAGTTCCCTGTCGCGAACAGCAGTAACTGCTGTAACTGATTATCGACGCTGGACCTCGGCGGCCACGTACTTCGTTCCAGCAGTCGCTGGAGCGCTTCTAGGGTTTCGGTTTTGCCAGTCGCAATTTGGTCAGTTACTATTGGCGTTGGTGCTCCCGTCGCTACGTTACTTTCGAAATAGCGATTTTTGGTATGTACTAGGCATGGTATAAAATAGTGTTCTTTGAAAGATAAAACGCAAAAGCAAATAAAATAAAAATATTTTATATAGGTACATAGGTATTTTGTCGGGGTATTTTTCTGGAACGGTCGCTATTGTAACGCGACTCACGTGGAACCGGTATTCCCATCACTAGTATATACTACTCATTAATTTATAAAACATCACAATTTGTTAATTTAGACATCATGTATGATTAACCCATATACATATATCTAAAATATACTCAGGGTTCCCTATTTAACCCCGTGTGCAGTTTCTGTGCCGCAAGAGAAAGACAACATAACCCACCTCCATATTAATATTGCATAAATCTATTTCACCCGGATATCGATTGAACTGCGATTGCGCCAAACTTCGATTGATTGTTGTTTTAGTTCTGTTTGTTTTACTTTTTATTTGTGCGCGTATAAGAGTGATTTTGTTTAGTTTATTGTTTCCAACTATTCTTTTATATTTTTCCAACTCCTAACAAAATAAAATTGAAGGTTAGGTGAAATGTCAGTCAACCACTTCCCTTTAAAAACACGAACCAATGAAAACTTCTTCAGGTAAGGCATGCGCAGTTAAGTGAATATCTGGGTGAAATAGACTTATGCAGAATTCCATATTTCTCTTTCACTGTTTGGGCTTCACTTTTTAGAGATTAGGCTGAGTATATGCGTAGTTATATGTAATACCTGGGACCCTGGTTTTAAACAAAATATACCAGTTCACGGGACACAAGTGTGGTCTGTGGTGCACACGTATTTAGAGTATTGCGTTTTGTAAAATAGATAACTCTTTTTTATTACTTTATCTTTTTTCAATTTTAAATCCTTTTTTTTGTTATATGTATATAGTAACATTTAAAAGAACAGTTCAAATATAAATTGTCCAAAAATTAACTGACGTTATACGAGGAAAAACAAAGTAACAAATAAGAATTTTTAAAGAAATATATTTCATAAATAAGCTAAATATCCCCACATACACATATTACATGAATCACCAACAGGTTTATATATCTATGTTTTTTACAATTTTACAAATCTAGCGGGCGCAGGTAATATTATATGTAAAAGTAAAAAAAAATAAGAACATTGAGTGAAAGAAACTTATTTATAAGCTGTTCTAGCACATCTTTGTCTGAATAATTCATATTTTTATACTATAACTTTAATTCCATTGGGTTAACAAAAATATTTTACACATGCTCATCCTTGGAAATAACTATACCAAATTAATATGGTATAAAACTATATTTTAATATAAGGAATCACCTAAATTTTTTCGCACTAATTCATTTTCATAGAGTATATCAGAGTTAGAATTTTATTTGCAACCTCTAAGCCAATTTCGAGCAAACAACAATTGGTTATAGTTGACAGATAAACAATGCCTTAAACGTTAGTTGTCAACCAATAGGTAGACAACTGACGTTTAAAGCATTATTTATCTGTCAACCATAACCAACGGTTATTCGCTGGAAATTGGCTTTAATCATTGTCTTTTTATTATCTTTGATTGTGTAACATAAATGCGCTAGTTAAACTTTAAAACAGATAACAAATAATCTTTCACTAAACGGTAACTACTAGGGACACAATAAAATACACATGCCTTAGTTCACCTAAAAATATTCTTAATAAAAAATGTACTTACAAAAAATTGTATTTATTAAGAACATCTTTAGATATATAACATATTTTTCTTCTTGTCTAATAGAAACCATTACAATCCTAGCGACCCGAGACCTGTTTTTTAGAGTCATTCAGCCTACACATGTAAAAAACAATAAAATTAATAAATGCAATCATAATTTCTATACATAGACAGACAGGGGCTCGAAAAGGACCAATAAATTAAAGAAAACATCACAATCAACAATACTTTTTGGTTTTTAATCATGGATTTATATTTTATGACAGGACGAAAAAGATTATCTACACAAGTTATGTAGGCATGCACGTTTCTCTAACCTAGCATTATCAAAAATAATGTTATTGGGTAGCAAAACGTGCATTCAGAGTTCATCAACTTTAAAAAAAATTATAAATAATAAATCCATTATCAAAAATTTAAACCTACGTTTATATAGAAAACAAAATAAAAAATGTGGTTCTTAAAAACGAGAATATAAATACAAGTAATTTATAAAAAATAAATATATATAGTAAAAGCACATCTTCGTGATCTTTTAACTAAGTTATAATGTAGGTATAAAATAAATATAAATATCGATAATATCTAAAAACTGGTATAAAACCTCTTATGTATCATGTCTCTTACAGATCCGGACGACACCATATGTCATGTTTTATATAGACTAAAAAACAGACAATAGTTTTAGATTGAAAGAAACGCAAAATTTGAATAATAAAAAGTATCAAATCAAAATTATCTGGTATATGTTTAACCTTAACTATTGCTTTTTTAGAAAATAAATATTATATTGTTATTGATTACCTGAATAGAATTTTACCAATAAAAATCAATAAGTTTATATCTATACCGGGTGTGTCTCAAAAGCAGCTCACCCCAATAACTTTTTTATTTTTTCAGATAAAAAAAAATGAGATTTGGTATGTATGTACACTATCGGACAAAAGTAGAGCAACACTTCAAGAAATATTTGCAAATCGCGATTTTTTAATTATACATGCATGATAATGTATACAAATACAATAAATTTAAAAACTACGAAGTAGGCTATGAGTATCCATGACAACAAGAATTTTTACTAACAAAACAAATGAATTTATTTTGACATTTAGTTTTAAATGCTTAATAGTAACGCGTCAAAAGTAGAGCAACATTCAAATAATTCATTCCAAAGAAGGGTTTTAGCAAAAGTAAAGCCCAAAATAATTCTGCGAGGTTTATTTTATGTTTTTTGAAACATTTCTATGCTGGATTAGTTATGCCAAGAGGAATTCCAATTTCAAAAGACTTGAAGCAAAGAGTTGTGAATGCAGTCATGGAAGGTAACAAACAAGCCGATATTTCAAGACAGTTTGTGTGTTACCCCGGTACAGTGTATCTAAAATAATTTCATTGTATAATAACAGGGGACACTTAGAAAAGTTGCCAAAATCGGGAAGGTCAAAGAAAACAACAGTAATGACTGACAGACGTATCAAAAGAATTGCTCAAAATGATCCTTGGAAGTCCGCACCTAGAATTATTGCCGAAATTCCAGAAATTACGGTTGGTATACGAACAGCACAAAGAAGATTAGTAGATGCAAAGTTATTTAGTAGACGTCCAGCCAAAAAGCCGTTAGTTTCGGAAAGAAATAGAGCAGCAAGGTTGGCATTCGCACGTCGGCATTTAAACTGGACCGTCAATGACTGGAAAAAAGTTTTGTTCAGTGATGAAACGCGCTACAAAATATTCAATTCTGATGGAATGAGACGTGTGAGGCGACCAATAAATACAAGGTTTAATCGTAAATACGTAACACCTACAATTAAACACGGTAAAGGCAGTGTATTTTTATGGGGTTGTTTCTCATGGAATGGGATAGGCCCTATACACTTTATTAATGACACGATGGACCGATTTATTTATAGGGATATCATGCAGAATGTCATGCTTCCTTATGCAGAATGGGAAATGCCACTGCGTTTTATTGTTCAACAGGACAACGATCCAAAACACTCTTCGCAAGTTGTTCAACAGTGGTTTAAGGAAAATGACGTTCGAGTCTTGCAATCCAGCACAATTCCCAGACCTTAACCCCATCGAAAATCTCTGGAAAGAAGTAGAACTTCGTATTCGTACCCAAATGTTTCCAAGTAAACAATCCTTGATAGATAAAATTAATGAAGTTTGGATAAATCTTCCCGAAAATGTCATTCAGAAGTTGATTGCTTCAATGCCGCGCCGTTGTCAGCAAGTTATTAATAATAATGGATATTCTATCAATTACTAATGTATGACTTTCAATTATTATTGTTCTTAAATGTGTTAAATATTTTTTGTTGAAATAAGACACAATAAAATTTGTTGAATACAATTTGTTGCTCTACTTTTGTCCATTTTTAAACTGATTAAAAGTACACCAAAATAGTACTAGTACTATAGTACTAGTACTAAAATAGTACTATAGTGTAAGGATAGTGTGTTAGTAAACATAGCCGAAATCACAACCTAATAATTTTTTTTATTCAAACATGAATAAAAATGAACTTTGTTGCTCTACTTTTGTCCGATAGTGTATATAACATAAATTAGGATTGATTGACGTATTCAATTGTTTTTGGTCACTTCCTCTTTCACTGGAAAGAACTACAACTTTTGATTTTTAAATAGCACCTTCTGTATATTTTTACTTTATTCGATAGAAAATGACCCTCTGAATAGAATAACATATCATATGTCAATTTTTGATATTTTCGCTTAAAAACAAATCGTATTTTAACTTTCAATCTAGAATGCCATGACTGTGTTAAAAATACTATTTTTTAATCAAGGACCCTTGGAAGAATAAATTTGACTGTCTAATGTTTTTCGTGTCTTGTCCTGGTCGGTTAAAAGATACCCAAATCGTATTTTTAATCATATCTCAATTTTTTCAAATGGAACAAGGGAGGCTCATTAACATATTTCAAATAAACCATATGTGAAAATAACAAAAGTTGACATATGATATGTCATTCTATTCAGAGTGTCATATTCTATCGAATAAAGTAAAAAAATACCGAGGGTGTCATTTAAAATTTAATTTTTTTTTTCATTAAAAATAAGAAGGAACATCTCTTTTTGTTATCTGAAAAAAAAATAAAAAAGTTATAGGGGTGAGCCACTTTTGAGACGCACTCGGTATAGTCAAAATTAAAGGTACAGTAAAACACCATTTAACAAACTTAACATTTTTATTCAGAGAAAACGCCGGATTGAGATATTCAAAAAAGAACAGAACGCTTATAAATAAATGCAATAAAGAAAGCTATAACTTTGAATTATATGTTTTTCTTTATACTATATGAACTACAGAACAATATCTAAAGTTATCCACCTTTATAAAAGATATGAAGGGTCTGTCAAGGTTTAAAAAATATATTTCTATATACCAAATAATTTTTTCGTGACTATCAATAAATATTCCACTCACCTAAAAAATTGTAGGGGTCCATTGGCGCCATATTTATAATAATACAAGTAGCCGATAATCACAGTGGCCGCGGCGAACACAAGTCCAAACTTGCTGCGCCTGTTGAACACGCACCACGCAGGCATATTGTTGTTAAATCGAATCCACAAGCTCTGCTGGCCCCTCAACCGTTTCCTCATCATCTGTTCGTTCCTCTTGCGCTCAGCCATTCTTAAAAGAAATTTGTGGAGTTATCCAAGGGTACTATGAAGATAAGCAGTACTCGATTCCTATACATTGTATAATTGACAGTTTTTAAGCATTGTTTTTTCATTGTTTATAAGATTACCAAAATTTACGGATAAAATATTTATATTGGCAACGCTGGTATCTGATAAAAAAGAATGGTCTGTGTTTTGATGAGTAGGATAACGATAAAGATACCCAGCTTACGTTATAACCCAGTTGAGAGAGAGAGAGAGAGAAACAGAGAGACAAAGAATTAAAGGGTTGCCAGTTCCTACGTACAGTAAGCATAATTAAAGATAACCATTAGTGTATCTCTATCATTGTCTTGCACGTTGAAATCCAGACCATCGATTTAAATGATCAGGTCTGTATACGATGTAAACACGTCGAAAATTTAATATTATCGAGCAGCCCCCCGTTTTGAGATAATAATTTTCTTGCCATCTCTAGAATTACAATTAATATTAATCAAAAAATATATGTACATATAAGTTTATGCTTAACAATAACTTTAATTAAAAAACAAAACAAATTTAAAGAAGGCGTCCATTCTTCTCAAAGAGACCTGGTTCAAATTAAAAAAGTAGAAAAAAGACTCGGTCTCAACGTTAATATAATGTTAAACTGTAAAGCCACAACAGTTTAACATTATATTAACGTTGAGACCGAGACTTTGAGTCTTTTTTCTACTTTTTTAATTTAAACAAAACAAAGGAAATCTCACAATTATAAACACAGAAAAAATATATAGTCTGTCCAATAAGAGAATATTATGAGTGATAGATACTGCCTTTTTTCATTTTAATTGAAAAATTGATTGTAGTTTCTGTCATTTTTTGGATGTAGTCTGTCAAAGACATCTCTTCTGTCACTGGACAGACTTTAGCTAGAATAAAAACTTAATATTTGTTATACCGCATACAACCAAAGAATTATCGAAAAAAGTTTAATCAGAATCAATTCAGCATGTCCAACACTCAAGAACTATATAAAAAACTACTAAACTAAAAATACTACCACTACATATCAAAAAACTCTTTTTAATATAGAAAGTTGCAAGTTTGAATAATAAAAAAAGCTTAATAATTATAAAATTCTAGAAATCAATATAATTTTTTATTCATAAAAAGTTTGCCGGACTTAAAATCCACAGAGCGTCAAATTTCTCAATGGTTATGATTTATATATTATTTTACAGTATACACGCAAAAACGTATACACTACACCTTCAGTGACCTTTTGGATATAAATAAATTATAATCTTTACAGGGTGAGTCTTAAATAAGTGCAAATATTTTCAGGGGTATATTGTAGGGGTGTATATTTTCAGGGGTATACTGTATATTTCGACGCCAGGAACATGTATATGGGGCTTTTTTGCTAAAAAAAAAGATGTTGAAAATCGTGCATTTTCTTTTAAGTTTCCCTGTATATTTTTCGAAAACTTTTTAGAACTGCCTGTTCACCACAAATTCTCCCACGATTTAATTTCTTAATCTCAGATATTACCACTGGCTTTACTTTATGGTTACGGCAATAAAAGGGATGCAAATACAGAAAAAATCCGGTGGCTCTCAAAATTTTTTCAAAAAAAAATATTTTTTTTTTAATTTTCAAACTTCAATAACTCGGTTATTTTGGATTTTTTGGATTTGGATTATCTGAAAAATGATAAAGAGAAAATATGTTTTTTTATCGAGATCTACTAGCCCTGAAAATATTTGCTCTTATTTAAGACTCACTCTGTATATACCTTCTGGATAAACTCCAAAATACAAAGTACAAGGTAAAAACAAAACGAATTCCAATTAAACAACGATATAATATTTATTAAAAAGTTAAAATCAATAGTTTTAAATAGAATACTTACACACAGTGAAGCTAAAACATACGAACTAAAAATATGTACAAATTAAGAAAACATTAGCACCAGTAAAAAATGTTAATACAACTTAATCTACAAAAAAGCAAAAGCAGGAAAATACTATCTACGTTTGTGTTTAGTTCTGGGTTTAGGCAATAAAGAAGCAAAAAGAAAAACGTAAAAGCTGATAGAGAAGACACTTTTAAAAACACCAAGCATTTTTTTAAACAAATACAACAAACTATAGTCTACGTACTCTCTATTAACTCGTTTCTTCACCATTTTCTCTAGCTTTTCTGGCGGGTAATCTCGATAGTATTTCGACGCGTTCACAAGAATTTTCTCAAAGTCCAGGTTGTTCGGTATTTGGGATAGTAAACAATGGATACTGGCCATGTCACACCCTAAAAATTAAATTATTTTTCTTTTAATGTCTGTGTGTACCATATAGGTAACACTCCTATAAGGCTATGATTCGATGAAATTAATTAATATGGAAATTATTTAAAATATATGATCTCACTACTAGGATGAAACAAAAACGATTTTTCAAACAGCGCCGGCGCCGCATTACATGTGATGCTGTATATAAGGAAAATATACCACGTGACTTGAGTACACAATAGTTCATACAAGAAATAGCCATCTTATCCGAAAGTCAAGCAGCATTAAAAGCGATTAACTCAGTAACCATCAATTAGAAGTTGGTCAAAGAATGTCTAGAGAAGCTGAACAAATTAGGCAAAGATATGTAAGTCCCCCACTCTAGATGTCAGCCCACCAAGGAATAGAGGGCAATGAAAAAGTAAACGCTCTAGCTAGAAAAGGAGCGGACACTCTACTAACTGGACCAGAACCGTTCTGCTTCCCAAGTAGAAACCAACTTAAAGTGGAAAGTGGAACTCAAAAACTACGGCGAATGCAGATTCTGTGGGGAAAATTGCGGAAACGCCAGAACACCTCATCACTGAGTGCGCCGAGATAACCATTCGTACCATAAAATTTGGTATGACTGATATTGGAGATGGAGAACTAACCTTTGTAAAACCGTCTCAGATACTGGCTTTTGTCAAAGCCCTGAGACTGTAATACCACAGATTATACAGATTATAAACTTTGTTTTTTCTTTATTGTTTTTCGTGGTTCCAATCTTCGGAATCGGGCACTAGTTAGGTTACTAGTTTGAGCACATAGCCCGCCCACTTATGGCCTCTAAAATTGCGCCTGACCGGCACAGTTATTAGAGAGATATCGGAAAACCGAATAGCGTCATGCAGTATTTACGCTTACCTTATCATGGTTACGATATGCGCGAGTCAATTTTTAACGCAACCATTGGCGTAACTACTGGGAAGCCTGGGGGTGCCGGACCCCCCCAGGTACTGCTGAGCACCCCCCAGAGAAATCCCGAATTATGACTCTTGGCCACGTATGAATTTTTATTTGCTTGCAGTAAAAATGACGTTTTCTAGTTTTGTTTAAAAAATGAGTTAATTTTTATTTTTTTAGAAAATTTGTGTATTTAAGTAATCCACGGGAACACGGTTTGATAACCAAGTCTATGAAATTTATTGATAGGGAAATTCATGTAAACGTTTTATTCAAAAAATTTGTTTTTAAAATTATTGTTCATTTTTAAAAAAACAAAAGCCTTAGGCCCTCCCTAGTATTAACCCCAGGCCCCCCCAGCCCCCCCCAGGCCCACCCCAGGATAAATTGCTAGTTACGCTAATGAACGCAACACCCGCTAATAACGTTACCGCCTGACGTAATTTGCGGATCAATTACACCAAGCGCTATTTCTAAATAACGTTTAAAAATTGCCTAAATGGGCATGTGCGGGTATTTGACAACCGGGGCCGGCCGGCGAGATCTTTTATTTTAGGTTATGTTTGAATTGTTTTGAATTATTACTTTAGTATTATTAGGTAATTTGATATTTAAGTAGCTGAGATTAGTTTTAATTAAATAAATATGGCCCAAAATATGGATTCCACCTCTTCCAATATTAAAGAACCTATAAAAGAGGCTTAGGTTTACAGCAGATGACGACTTAGCCCTCCTAAGAGAATCTCTGTTGCCCTAAACCCACTGGCAGACGTTGAACAATAAAGCACTGGAAGCACTTTAGCCCTTTAGTTTTAAAATACCTGGTAAAAAAAACAATTTCAAAGTTTTAAATTCAAAGTTAGGTTAAGTTTAAATAGCGGACGCGACGCGAACAGAATTCTTTCCGATCCGATAACTATAAATGAAGAGAGTTAATACCACCTCACGTAAAGGAAATAACACCTGGCCTTATTAACGTCCACGCACGCTATTCGGTTTAGCGATATCTCTCTATTACGCTGTTTATTGTTATTTTACGCGAGTTTATTTTTGCGCACAGGAAATTTTACTCGTTTGCACATCGTCATAAAAAACAATTTTCGTACCACGAATTATGGATAAGATTTTTATCTGTATACATATAGTATACCTAATCTGTGGTAATACTCGTTATAACTCAAGAAAGGGGGACACAATCAGGGTTCGGAAAACTACATGTTACTTTTAAAAACTACAGAAACTACATTACATGTAGTTAATGTAGTTTATGTAGAGGGTGTAGTTTATGTAACATATGTATGTAACTTTCAAATATCAAAGGTTTGAGGTGAGGTTATAATAAGTTGAAGATTTAGAAAAAACATAATGTATTCAAGAAAACAGAAGAAATATGGCTTTAAATATAACCATTCACATCATATTATTTAGACTCCTCATACAAAGCAGAATTATACATAATATCAATAGTTAGTTTATTAACGTAGTTTTCATGTAGTTAATGAACGGGAAAAGACGTAGTTTTTGAAGAAAAATTACACGTAGTTAATCAGGTAAATTACGTTTTAATTAACTACTTCCGAACCCCGGACACAATAGATCTGTAAGGTCGCGGTGATTAATTCCCCTCCTAAACATTCTACAAGGTCGCGGTGATTAACATCCCCCTCATACATTCTACATTCTAACCCTATACCCATTCTTATATGCTGGGGACACATAATTTTTAAATACAATGATATTTTACTAACCTTCTGCAAACACTTCATTTCTCCTATAAATGACTAAAGCTGTGGCTACATATAAAGGCATGAGCGGTGGTGCTGCCAAGAAATAATCATATAATCTAACGACATCTTTGTATTGGTTTAATGAATGCCCAAACCACGTTAAGAACCATGGCAATGCAAACATGGTACCCACACTCGCACTGAAAACATTTTTCATCTTCAATAGTTTGTTTCAATTATTATTCTTTATATTATAGATATATGATATATACAGGGTGGTCCGAACTGTATTCCAGATACTTTGGCAGCATATTCTGCAGATTAAAATAAGTAAAAAAGTTCTTATAAATATATGTCCTAAAATGCTTAGTTTCGGAGATACAGGGTGTAGAAGTTTCATTTTTACGAAATAATTTCTGAAGTAACGTCAATATTTGGATAAAAACTGGTGTCTGTTTTTTTTTTGGCATGAGAAATTTGATTTTGATGTCAATGTGACTCCTATTTGTAGGGGGCGCTACCCAAGACCTACATGTGTTTAACTGTTTTGAAGAGTAATAACTTTTCGTCAATACCTGTATAAAACTACTGAGTGACAAAATCCTAGATCATATATACTTACGTAGATAAATCAACGCCATTAGTTTAACATTAAAAAATATGTCTCCAACATCACGACATGCTATTTTCAAACCTTCTTTATTGCACTTATGAAACGTTCATAGGGTTTGTCTTTCTCGAGAACCTTACTTTGCGCATGCGCATTAAAAGTTGCACGTATTTCCAAAATAATTACAATTTTATACGGTTTAGAAAGTACAAAATTATACATTGTTATGGAAACCAACTTTCCATTGTCATCATATTGTCATAATCATATGTCACAATGTGGTAATAATCATGTCATAATCTTATTGTCATTGTGTAACGACGCTTGTTTTTGCGTTTTTTATTTTAAAAATTGTATTAATTACTCTTTTATCAACCGCTATTTATTGTTCAAAGCATTTTACAAATTTAATTTTTAAAATTAATGTTCAAATTTGGCGCGCGGACTCGACAGCGCGGGCAGGTCCTCGACAAGGTTAGATAGAGCAGAAGCACCGCGTGTGCAACAAAAAAAGAAGATAAATGGAAGTCGTTGATATGTTTGCGACAGTTTCCATAGTGATTTACTTATCGAATGTAATACTACAAGATGTTTCAGGATTACCGAATAATACTTTTACCTGACACGAAATGCGTTACCCGGCAAGTATGAGTGTCAGGCAAGTTGAGTGTCAGGCAAAGGTATTAAGTAATCCCGAAACATCGAGTTGTATTCAAAAGATTATACAACGAAATAAAGTACATATATTTCGCCATTTTGTAATAAGAATTGACGGATATTTTGTGAACTGACAGAAATGACTTCTGAATTAATATTTCAAAAAATGACAATTACAATATGGCCACCAAGCGATAATCACTTAAATGATTATCACTTATTAATTACATCCTTCTATATAGACAAAATATACATAGACTTGTATAATCCACGTAAGGATGTATATATGTCTCTTTGTAAAAATTGCTACGAGTAACCGATTTCAAGATATCTAAAATGCAAATAGTTAATACCTGTTATTATTGACAAAAAATAAACACACGTTAAGTAGATAGTTATTTGACAAATGATAAAGGGAAATTTTTATTTTTTAAATTAATCATAAATTTTTCCGCGAAAAAATGATGATAAAACGTTTCTCTGGAACTTTTAGCACAAACAAATTTAAAATTTATGATTTCAGTCTAATAACTATTTAGTCAACATGTTTAATTTATGTCAATGATGATTGGTATTGATAATTTCGATTCCAAATATCTCAAGAACCATTACCCGTAGCGATTTTTACCAAGAAATTTTTTTACGTAAAAAACGTTGTAAATTTATATTTTTTTACTCACTAGTTTTAGTTAGGTTAGGGACGAAAAGTTATTACTCTTCAAACCAGTTCAAAAATATGTAGGTGGCGCCTTCTACATGTAGGAGTCATATTGACACCAAAATTAAATTTATCAAGTCAAAAAACTACCAGAAACTAATTCTCATCCAAATATTGCCGTTACTTCATAAATTATTTGGAAAAAATCGAAATAAAAATGAAACTTCTACATCCTGTATCTCCGAAATTAAGGGTTTTCGGACATACATTTATACGAACTTTTTTACTTATTTTTATCTACAGAATATGCTGCTGAAGTTTCCGTAATACAGTTCGGACCACCCTGTATACTGTTAAATAGAGAATTACCTATCCATAAAGTTATGTAAATCTCTATCGACATTATGTAGCAAAGCGTAAATGTAGTTAAGCCTGTAATCTGTTTTTTCCATTGTTGGTTCCATGCATTCCCTTAAATTTTCCGTACTTAACTTTTCCATGATTCTAAATGCCACTGCTTCACCCACTACTAACAAGAATGTTATGGCTACGTCATGATATCCCTGAAATTTTAATAATAATAACCACATATTTTTATTAAATACAGAAACGATAAAAAATAGTACAAATTCACATCCTTTAAAGAAATCTTTAGATTCAGTAAGATAATTAAAATTATGTAACAGAGAGAATCAAAAATATAATATTAATATTTTAGTACATACATTTACAATAATTATTACAAAAGTGCGAGCCGAACTCGCCCACCGAGAGTTCCCTATATAGACTATATGTTTCATGATTTAATTCCATATAAATGTCTAGTTTTCAGATTTTTCTCTATACTTGTAGTATAAGACAGTATTACTCGTAATTTCAGTACGTAGCACTGAGTAAAGCTTTATGTTGGAGCTGCGATAAACGATAAAAGCAGTGAATTAGCGCTGCTCTTATCGTTGCTCAACTGCCAAGTGTGTCTCGACGCGTTGCTCCAATATAAGCACCTACATATAAATGAATATAATAATATTCTTTGCTTCGCTACTATCGCTGCTCTTATCGTTTATCGCCGTTTCAACATAAATGCACCCTATACGTTGATACGATGGTCCGACGGTGCTCTGATTGGTCATAGCGTTTTCGCGCCACTATTCATCCGTAAATATTTTACTCATTTATAAAACTATAATTTTACCACATCTAAACTACTGTTCTACCATAATCAGGGGTGGATGGGCCATATGGGAAAACGGGAAAATTCCCGGTGGGCCGGTAGGAAGATCGGCCGGTGGGCCGGTTCCGATCAGAGCTCAAAAAAAAGATTGATTTAGCAAAAACTAAATGGTTAATCTTCTAACTAAAGTTACGTAAGATTCTTAGTGACTGCCTAACTAACTAATCAACTAGGTCAATATAATCGTCAGTTGCTTTTAAACATAAACACCAATTTGTAAAATAACTATTGTTAGATGTCTTTCTCTGAGACACTTATAATTTTAATAAACATCTGTTTGTTGTTCCGTTTGAAATGTTTTATTATACAAGGTGAGTCTATAAGTGCACTTTATTTGTGCTGCTTTGTGCAAATATTTTCAGGGCTGGCTTATTAGATATGAATAAAAGAAACATAATATATTCTGACAAGACAGTTTCAAAATTTTGGAAAATCGGGGGCAAAAGAGATTTTTTCCGCCGAGCGAAAATTACCCTTACTTATATAGGGTGCCCCAGAAATAAGTGCAAGTATTTTAAGGGGGTAGATTTGGTCAATAGAAACATTTTTTCTCTTTACCGTTTTTCAAGTAAGTACAAAATAACCGAGTTATTTTACTTCGAAAATTTGAACAAAAAATGCTTTTTTGCTTAAATTTTGAGAACTTCTGGATGTTTTCTGGATTTTCTTTCATGTAAATTTAATCTACTACCTATGTTGCCATATTATCAATAAATTATGTTTTTTAACTTAAAAATAAAAAAATTTCCAAAATTTTTTTCAAAAAATTCGACAAATTTTCGCAAAAAAACTCGGTATTACCAAAAACTCATAGGTTTGTTTCTGAGGCCGAAATATACTACCAGTTAAAATACTTGCACTTATTTCTGGGACACCCTGTATATTAATAAATAAATACTTCGTTATGGTCATTTTGTTTTTGTGGATTCGGGCCGGTTGCCTGTTATTCCCGGGCCGGTTTCCACTTCCCCATCCACCCCTAACCATAATGTTTATGTTTAGTAAGGAAAATATCAATATACTTCAAAAAAGCAAAACTGTATCTTAAAAGGTATTTTTAGTGTGTAATAGATATACAAGGATAAACGATATGTTAAATGAAACAAATTTACTAAGTGTTTAGGTCAAATTTGTCTATTCTTAAATTTTAGCATCTATTTAACCTAGAAATAAGTATGGCAGACTTTTTTTTCGGGTTTAAAGTTGGTGTAACCCGGCCGTTCCAAATATGTTTAATTATTTAAAATTTTTACAGCGTGTTTATTAGATGATATTAAAAAAATATGTGTTAATTGCCAGACGAATTCAATGGGATTTAATACTTGCCAGACGCGGATAAAGATTTTAAATGAGCGCGATAAGAAAGTCTTACGAGTATCTATAAGCGCGAGAAAGATAGTTTATTGAGACCCGTCGGCAGCCGATGCGGCTGACGTAACAGCATTTTGGAGTCGTAAAAATTTTAAAAAAACTTACTAATATTGAATAAATAAAAAGAAACATTTTTTAATAAAAATGTATAATTGAAATCCTTTCAATAAGAAGACTTTTTAATTTAAGTATTTTGTATCTGAAAGAATAAAAAGACGAATAATTATTTAAAAATTAGCATAATATAAAATATATTTTTTTCAAACGTCACAAAAGTATAATTATTATTATACTTTTGTGACTTATTATATTATTATAAATTTTTGCGACCTGATTGACAATATAAAAAAGTCATTTTAACGCCTAAGCATAAAAGTAAAGCACTTTTACTCAGTTTTGAATCTATTTAGAAAGATTAACAATGGTACTTTAATAAAATTCCAGAATACATACTTATTTTTTTAGCACTGTACATGGTACCCTTTTGTCGGGACTACGTTTTCTGGTAAAACCACTTCTCTAAATTTTAAACTATGTTGTTGGTGCACTTTTAAAAATTCTTTGCATTTTTGTAGTCTGCCTTCATCAAAAACAATAACTTTGTCACTAGTAACTTTTTTACAAACTACACAACTTAAATGTTTTTTATCCATTGTGATTTAGTAGTTAGTAGCGAAATTAGTAGTTTCTAAAATATGTATTTGCAGTAATTATTCTAAACTATTTACACTATGCACATCAATATTTAATTTATAAATACATATTTGTACAGCTGGTTCCAATAAAATTGAATACGATTTAAAACATATTTTTATTATTTCGGGCAGTATATTCTATGATACCAGTCCCCCATTTCTCTATTCATGTCATGTTGACGTTCTGAAAAATTTATTTGCCACTTTGTCAACAGCAAAGTTGTTTTATACAATGTCACAATAACCTTAACATGTCAAAATACTTGACACATAAATATACACTGCCCAAATATTCGAGAAAAATGTGTAAAGAGTCGTATTCATTTTTTTTGGAACCAGCTGTACATGGTAACTTGATTCTAACAAAATAATCTCTGAATTAAAAGCCTGCAAATAATTGAAATGAAACCGAAAAAAAATTGTTTTTATGAAAATTTGAAGTACTCCAAAATACTGTTACGTCAACCGCATCGGCTGCCGACGCCGCGACCGGGTCTCAATAAACTATCTTTCTCGCGCTTATAGATACTCATATAAGACTTTTTTGTCGCGCTCATTTAAAATCTTTATTCGCGTCAGGCAAGTATTAAAACCCGTTGAATTCGTCTGGCAATTAACACATATTTTTTAATATCATCTAATAAACACGCTGTAAAAATTTTAGTATGCTAAAGTCTGTTTTCCAGGTATAATAATTAAACATATTTGGAATGGTCGGGTTACACTTTAAACCCGAAAAAAAAGTCTGGCATACTTATTTCTAGGTTAAATAGATGCTAAAATTTAAGAATAAACAAATTTCAAGTTGCCTAAAGAATGTTTTTTGGATTTATTTTTTTGCAAATGTTATGGGCTACGCAGTAGCGAAATACCCCCAACGCCCCAGCCAAACTTAGGATTCTGGGTTCACAAGTTATTATTTTTATAACTTTATTTTTTTTTTGTTATTCTAACTTGCCTAAAATATGTTCTCTAAATATGTCGCCAGCTCTCCGGCTATTACAGCGCGAAGCAACGCTGAGCTACTGGGCTTAGTCAGAAACCAAAGTGCGAAGCATGTATGAGTGGCGGGGCCCAACGCATAGGGGCCGGCATGAAGCACACGCGCCTCGCGTGGCAATCAACGTGTTAAAACAAAAAAAAGGGTTGTACCCAGATCATATTGTAGATACATTACAATTTGTACAGGATGTACATTGCAACAATACTAGAGCCAAATCTGATTTTTATATACCAAATGAAACCTCGTCTTTTGTACAAAATAGCCTCTTCCATCAGGGGTTAGTAGAATTTAACAGTTTGCCATTAGAATTAAAATGTATAAATAACATAAGTAGGTTTAAAAGTAGACTGAGATCTCATATTGTTGGTAATGTTAGCATATAGGAAATTGAATATTTAGTTTTACTTTTTTTGTTATTGGCTATTTGTTAGATAAAACCTGATATTACAATATTGTTAGCATATAAGTAATTGAATATTATATTGTTACTTTTTTTGTTATTGGTTAGCTTTGGCTATTAATAAAGGATTTATTTATTATTTTTAGAAAATGCTAAATTTCAGTATAGCAAAACAATTGTTATTGGCGCTATGATTTGTAAAGAAGTAGTTCTAATTTATGTATGGCAGTTTTATAAAGATGGAGAAATAGATACAAGTAAATATATTTCAGTTGGATGGTATATGGTATTCAAAATATATTAATGAATCTTAATTTTCTCTATATATATTAATCTCTAACATAATTTTCAACTCTTATTAAGTATGTCATATACCTATCACATCATAGTTGCTATAACAAGAAGTAGTAATAATCAAACTTTCACATGACTATTAAGCAATATATGAAAAAACTTCTTTCATTTGTTGTATATCTATAAAAATTCATTTCATCTATAAAAATTCAATCATCACATTTTTTAATAATTAAAAAAAAAGGAAATAATAAACTTTACCGGCACCATTCGAATAATAAATAAAAATTATTTCAGTAGTGCCCACTTTATTGTTGACTCCCATGTGCAATCTATTTCCAATTACAGTAAATACCAAATGCATTTTTATGCACTTGAAAACTAAGTCAAATCGATTAAAAGTAAATTTTCGCCAATCAATTACAACAAAACACTCTGATAAATATATCTAAAATCAATAAAAATATTCGGGTAATTATAGAGTTCTTTGCAATTATTTATGTTTTACTTAAAAAAAATCATGGATGCTTGAAAATGCAACAAATACTTCAAGATTTATCAGACATAAATTTTATGTTTACAAAACTATAAAAAGAAAACATAGCAGAATAATATTATGTATTACCTGTGTGTGTAAAACTGATATTATTTGTAGGTATAAAATTTAAAAATTATCAGTTATATATTAAATGTCTCCAATAAACAGAAAAATTTCAATCAATGCAAGTGTAAACAGTTTTGTTAAATGGCTTAATATTAAGGTAAGTAATATATTATGTTGAACTTACTACCGATTACATCAAGACGCACCATACACAATTATTAAGACATTTTTATGAAACAGATGTTGAAATAAGAGCACTTTTTATTATAAAACTAAATTTGTAATTGGTAATTAAATTTTATATTCCTTATAAATGATAGAAATTTTTTTACAATGGACAAATCATTTAAATTGGCTTACCTGATAATATCGTAAATGTGGATACTTCATTATAACCCTTAAAATTAAAACAGTCAATTGATCCTGTAATGCTACCCTTTGTTCATATGGAATACCTAAAAAATATGATTTGGTTGAAAAAAATTGACTTATATAAATATATTAAATTTATTTGTTGTCTGACCTGGAGGAAACCTTTTCAGAGATCTATTGACATCTAAAATTACTTGCTGATACTCTGGGTGATCTGACAGCTCTTCCAGAGATGGAATTTTTTCATTTGTACTGGGATCAACTTCAAGTAATAAAGGCCAGACTTGATATCTCAAGTCATCTAAAATATAAATTTGGTAACTATGTGATTAAAATTTAGACATAGTAAACTTATTATGTTAATATTTAAATATGTATATACCTCCAACTAATCCAAATTTACTTATCGCTAAGTCCTTCCATGTTTTAAGGGTAGTATATTTACTAATTAATGCTTCCTCGATATCTTTGCGTTTTTTCTTTTCTTCGTCGCTTTCTACCTCTAAAAATATATAATATAATATAATACGTCTAAATAAATGTTAGTACAAACCTCTTTCAAATTTCAACTCTGATCTTGTATCAATTAAAGCTTCATCTTCAAAACTATTTTCTGATAACCTGTCAGAATTACTATTAACTAAATACGTTTCTTCATCTAAACTACTAATCTCTGAATCAAAATTTTCCATTTTTAGCTATCCGTGTTAAGATTTAACATCATTTAAACTTTATAAAAACAGGGAAAACTGAAAAAAATATTTATAAGAAAAATTGATAACCTATCGCATATGTCAGAAATCAGCTGATAACTGTTTAGACCATAGCCATAGATAAAAGAATGTTGAGACTTTTAGACTGGGCCCCATAGAATTTAGACAAAGCTGTACCCATAGAAGACTTTTGTTATATCATATATAAATTATATATGATTAACATAAAATCTACGCTGTGGTTTAAAAGCAACTGTCAATTTAAATAATTTAAATTTAAAAATATTTAAAAATATTTGAAATTTTTGTAAAAATGGCTAATTCCAATAATTACGATATATTCAAAGAAATAGAAGACATAATTGATGCTCAAAAACGGCTTGGTCAATATAATGTGTACCATACTAACAAAACGCCGACTTCTAAATGTGTATTCTCAAATAATTCGAGTGATAGACCTCAGACAGTAAAGTTTAACGAAGTATCTTTTATGCTGAGCGACCAAGAGTCCTTACCAGGATCAAGTGAAATTAAATACACAGATTCAGAAATTACTATAGTTAAAGTTAAATGTAACAGCGATGTTTTTAAGAAAACGTTAAGCACATGGGACATGAATGACATTGCCATTCCAGGAGATGGCTCGCATTTAGGAGAAAGCCCTTCCTTAGTAAATTTAGCAACTCTAGTTACGCAAAATGTTCAATGCGAAGGTGACGATGAATACTTGGTCCCTATTTCATCCTGGGATCCTGTAACAAAGGAGGATGATTTACCCTTCGGGTTAAAATGTTGTTCCGATAGTAAGCTGTATGAATGTAACATATTAAAGAACACTGCTACCGATCCAAATCTCTATACTAAATTTATAAGTTCTGATAGTAGTTCTCAAACCGATATCAAAATTGAAGATTTGTTAAATAAATATCGTGTCTCCAGTTGGGCGGGAAAAAGTTCAAAAATTGTGCGGAAACACTGTCAAAATTTAAAAGATGCGGAATCTGACAGACGCCAGAACCAAAACAAAAATAAAAATGAATAAAGGTTAGAAAATGCTGAAAATAGGCCCCGCATCAAATATTTATGTAAAAAACGAACTTAAAATGTCACTAAATTTAGAAATACATCAATAGTTTTAGTAAGAATTTAGAAGTTCACTTGTAAATGTATATCTAATGAAAAATATAGATATTCTAGTCCTAGTAATATTTTATCTTTGATTTTAGATGTCTGGGGATGCCGAGGACGCAATAGAAACTTTTCTGTTAGTGGTACCATCATTTTTCTATGTCGTATTAGCAACTACACTTCCAGCATTCCTACCATACTCAAGTAAACAGCTGAACTTTACAGTTGAATTTATAATTATTGTCATTCCGATCATATTGAATGTAACAGTATTCGCCAATATATCAGGAAACATTTTGTTTATTATATCCTTGATATTATTCACGTTTGTAGCTTTAATGTTGGTTAACACTTTATATAAACCAACTAGTAAAGAAACTAAAATAACAAAACCGCTGTTAAACAGAGAAAATTTTGTTACTAATGTTCGATCAACCATTAATCTTATATCAGTGGTAGCTATATTAGCTGTGGACTTTAATATATTTCCTTCCCGATTTTCAAAAACTCCAAGAACAGGTTTCAGTCTTATGGATTTAGGTGTAGGCTTGTATGTTTTTGCTAACGGAATCGTTGCACCCGAGGCAAGGGGTAAAAAAGATCCAATAACGAACTCAATTAAGAGCTCTATCGCTCTTATAATTATCGGCATACTGAGACTTGTTTCAACAAAAGCTACACATTATCATGTATCGGAAATGGAATATGGCATCCACTGGAATTTTTTTATTACATTAGCTGTAACTAAAATACTGTCTTCATGTATTCTGAATATTTTCGATGTGAATTATATTTATATTAATGCAATATTGTTAACAGTAGCTCATGAAACTCTGTTACAAATGTTTTTAAAAAGCTGGATATTTTCAACTGACAAAAGAACAAATTTAATATCAGCTAACAAAGAAGGAATTGTATCCAGCGTAGGCTATGTGAGTTTGTACTTATTCTCTCTCTATTTTAGTTACAGTTTAAACAAAATGAAAACACAGCATAATAAGAATAAACTGTTTTTCATTTGGATCATAAATTCTCTTTTAATAACTTGCTTCTGTACATATAAATTTGAGGTATCTAGGAGATTAGCAAACTGTGGCTATATTGCATGGATATTATTTATTGCTATTTCTATGACATGGTTATTTTATCTCTGGGATAGTTTAAAGAAAAATAGTTTTGTAAATTTCAACTTAAATTGCTGTCCTTTTATATTAGAAGCTATAAATTCTAACGGTTTAATATTTTTCCTTGTTGCAAATGTACTAACTGGATTAGTTAATCTAACAATTACAACAAATTTAGTTAGTAGTATGAATTCTTTAATAATTTTAATTGTATATATGCTGATTAATTGTGGTTTAGCTTCTGTATTGTATAGCTCTAAAATTAAATTGAAATTATTATAAAATAAAGAAATTATTTTTATTAATCAATATTTATTATTGGATTCGAGTAAAAAGTCTACATTATTCAAGTAATATAACAATATAATTTAAAACATATTTGACAAAAAAAAGACTTTATTAGAAAATGATGAGTACGCTTAATTATAACAATAAGAAATTTTAAGTTTTATATATTTGATAAAAAAAATGTTAACTACTATTATATGTTAAAAAATATGAGATTTTTTAAAATATCACTTCTCAGAGTTCATCATGGAGATCATTATTTTGGTCCTCAGGACTTATTTTATTGAGAAATTCTTGATAAGAAGCCTGATTTTTGACATAATCTGTGGCTTCTTTCAATAATCTTTTGAATTCCTCCACGTCAAATGAGTAATTAGCAAATTTAGCATGTGCTGCACCTTCGTGGGAGTCCTAGAAATTTTATTTTGAAATTATTAAATTAAAAAAATACCACATCCATGAACTAAAGTATTATCTTATTTATTAACATCGTTTTTTTAAATATTCGAGCTTCTTACATCTGTTTCTGAAGATAATTTTTCTGTGTTCTTCCATGTCACATAATGAACACCTCTTAATCTAGCAAGATCTGCATAACAATTTGCATCCTCACAGTTGTATCTAAAAGATCAATACACAATTATTATTAATACTCTAAATGTGACAATCTCTATATGACTTACAATTCAAATACTGCAGCCCAGTCAGGCAAAAACAGCAAATGAGTTAAACCTGCCCCATGGATGCCTACAAGCACATCAGAATTGGCACTAATCTCTAATTGTTTTTTAAATGGAATATTCCTGTTATATATCACTCTGTTCACTTCATACTCATCATTATCTTTGATTGAATCTAATAAAGCTTCTTCATTAAGCACCCTTCTATATTTTGTGTCTCTGGACAGAAAAGTAATTTTAATTTTTCTATTAATTCTTCTATAAATTGGTATTTTTAGACGATGTAGCATATGCTTTGAGAACGCATGAAACAATCCGCTTTTTCTGCAGCCATATATCAAAGGAGTATTATAATATAATCCAAAAATCATTCTGGGAAGCAACGGAAAAATTACATTTTTGAAACATACTGTTTCTCCTCTAAAAGTTTTCAAATCCCACAAAGGATGTTCTGTAAATGCTTTCCAGGAGTCCTCAAACAGGGATCTGTATGTAAAAGTTTCCCATATAAGTACATGAACATCAGTAGAGAAGGCTTCTGGGCCTTCATTCAAATGCAATGATGCATATAAGTTTAAAAAATCACAGAAATGATGATACATATTAATAGCTAAAAATATTTGTTATGAGTATTTAATAATTGATATATGAATATGTATGTAAGCTGATATATAAACTATTATAGGAGAATAATACATACTGGCATCAATTTTCATAATATAAGTAGGTTTTTCTAACACTACATCACAGTCTCCATTAGAAATTATTGGTCTATGTTTAAGTTTACTAAAATATCTGATTTCTGGGCCCCAACTTTGCAAAGCACTAATATGATCGGCTTGTTTATCCAACTCTTTTTGATTCAAATCACAATATCCCCCAATATCACCATGGCTTAATACATCCATTTTATATCTGATTGGATCTGGACGACTTGCCAACTGTGTAAAATTTATCATAATATTTCTACCTCTACAGTATCTCAGATGATCTGAACATTCTAGAATACTATCATCTTGAAATAAAGGCTCACATAACACTTTCAACTCCTTGATCTGTTGTTTGACAAAACCAAAATCTCCTTGTGTATAAAATGTATTTTCTTGATCAAACTTTGTTTTTACCCAACCCTTGTGATCCCCCGGACATTCTGGAACTGAATATTGATTACCCCACTGATGGTCTAATTCATAACCCCAATATTTTTTTTCAGTTAAGTATTCTTTATACGGACATTCTGTATCTATTCTACATTTTTCTGCGATTTCCGGATTTGCAGTAAAGTAATATGGCACGTGCTCTGGAGGTAAATTAATTGTAGAATAATTGCAAGTTAGTACCTGTATAAATTTTAAGAAAATAAAAATAATCAACTTCATTTTTTTTAAATCTACATGCTACTATTGCATAAAAAATTGTAGGATGACTAAATTTAAAATTTCCATTCAGTGTATCCCTCCTACGATCTATGAATAATGAAATATATTCCTTCTGGGCATCTTTCTTTGTGAAAATAGAAAGTAAAACACTGACAATTGTATGTATTTTATTTTCTTCTATCTTCTATTAAAATATATCATAATGTTTACAATTTTAAATTTTAATTGGTTATTTACTCCAAACTTCAAATTCTTCTCATTATTTTTTTGGATTTTACACATTCGTTGGTCTCCTTGATCATATTCATATATGATAAATAGTTGGTAATTGGTAACAATATAAAACTAAATGTTCCTAAATATCAGGCTGTACACTTTTTTAACCGGCACAAAAAATTACTATTTTTTGTGCCGAAATTCAAACGCTTTTTATCATTCTGTTAGAAGAAATAAGAAATCGTGAACAATTTGGCTACCCCGTTGACTTTAAATTATTTAAATAAAATAGAATTTAAATACACAATTTACATTATTCAAAAATTTGTTGGCTTAATATTTTCTGCAGGGGGGTGACAGTGAAATAGGAAAATTGGAAACAGTCATTAGTGTCATTCCTGTCATTCTCCTCACGACAAGTATGGCCGCCTAGACAAGGACAGCATTGTTTTTGTCTAACTATTGTCTAACTTCACAGTTTAGAATTGACAGATTTCAGTTTCAGAGACAACTTCAGATTTGTTTTGACCATGGCTCTTTATGCTTGGGTGAGTATTTTGCATTATATTTTAAGTCTAAATACGAAATTTTAATAAAATATCTAAAATGTTTACTTCAGGGCGCCAATAGCTATGGGCAGTTAGGAATAGGCTACAAATCTGATGCAGAAATTAAGCCACAAAAAGTTGAACTGAGGGGAACTGATTTGAAAGCAGAAGAGATTGTTTCTATTGCCGGCGGAGGTGGCCATACGTTAATTTTAACTTCCAATGGGTTTGTTTACTGCTGTGGATGGAACTCAAAGGGCCAGTTGGGCCTGTCTGATGATACTTTAACATTTACTCAGATTGATATTTTGAAGGAGTTTAAGGTTGTACAAATATCATGTGGTTGGGACTTCAGTGCTGCTGTGTGTGAATGTGGAAAGCAGTTTGTATGGGGCAACAATCAATATACTCAACTTGGCCTTTCAAAGAGCATTACCTGCACTGGGATTCCTTCAAGATTACAAGTTTCTCAGAAATTAGCTACAGGTTTCAAGCAAGTTAGTTGTGGATTACGGCATTCAGCTATGATTACCAAAGATGGTGGTCTTTTGGTAGCCGGTACTGGTGCTAAAGGCCAACTGGGATTGGGTGATAATTTTGATGATGATAATTACTTAAGTATATCAAAAGTTCCAGATTTATATGATGTAATTAGTGTAGCCAGTGGGCAGAACCACACTGTATCGTTAAAGGAAAATGGTACAATCCTCAGTTGGGGTGAAAACAAATATGGTCAACTTGGTGTCGATACCAGTGTAGCTATTAGTTTTATACCTTTGGAGGCATTTCACCTTGAGGGTCTCAGTAGTGTGTATGCTGGCTGGACACACAGTGCAGCATTGGCAAACAATGGAGATGTTTTTATTTGGGGCAGAAACAATTATGGTCAGCTAGGATCGGGAAGAGCCAATGCACTCTTTAAGCCTGAAAAGCTTGATACTTTAAGCAATGTTAATCAATTGAGCCTTGGCTCGGAACATAATTTGGCAGTAACCAAGGATAACAAGCTTTATTCCTGGGGATGGAATGAGCACGGTAGCTGTGGTACTGGTGATAAGAAAGATGTGAAAATTCCAACACAAATCTTAAATAGCAAGAAAGTTAAATATGCTTTTGCCTGTACTGGCACTTCATTTGCCGTTGTTGAATAGCATTAATTTAGACTTCATTTTTTCTTTATAATGATTTTAAAATTGTTCATATAAGTATTTTTATAAGAAATGTAATTATTGTATCGGCTCATTAATTTTTTTTATAATAAATATGATTTTCATGCATGGTAAAGTTCATATATTGATTTTTTCTACGGTTGTTACTGGCAACTTATTGTTTGTATCCATTTATATATTTCATTGCATGTGACAATTGCAACAAAACTGTGTGAAAAATATGTTGCATTCATTTCGTCCTAAAAATAGTAGGTAAATTATTTTTTTACTAGGTTTTATCCTTTATTCCAAGATTATATTTTTACATTTAATACAGTTATGTATATAATTTTGAAACTTATATCAATAGATTTCTGTGGAAATGCCTAAAAATTGATTTTTGTATTTTCCTCCTTCCTATAGATATTTTAAACCATTCTTGGCTTTTTTAAGAACTATTAATATTTTTTATTAGTGAAGAAGAAGCAAAGTTTTTGCAGGAGCGTATACAGACGACAGAGAAACATTTAGCGGATCTTTGCGATGTTTTCAGTCAGTATACTAGAAAAGCAGCGAGACTGAGAGACAAAAGCGATGAATTAGCACAGGTAGCAACTGCTTATTCTTCAAATGAGTCTATAAATAAGTCTTTAGCGTTAGGTTTAGAAAATTTTGCAGATTCTATATCGACTTTAGGTGATTACGGTGATCTTAGAACGCAAGCTTTGACGTTAAAAAGTAAGCAGAATATATTTTTCAAATTAAATCCATAACTCAATTTTTTAAGTTACTGGTGCTTTATCTAAATACGATAATGTTTGCAAGAAAGCTAAAGAAGAAGTTAAAGATATTTTCGCCGCAAGACAAAAAGAAATTCAAAGGAAACGACAACTGGATAGATTAAGGGATAAAAATCCAAGAAATAGACAACTAATAGTATGTCTGCCATTTAATTTAGATTAAAAAACTAACAGTTTTTTTTAAATCTTATATAGGAGCAAGCAGAAACTGATTACCTGAAAGCAACTAGCGAACTATCTAAAACAGTTCACGCAATTGAAGAAAGATCCGCAACTTTTGAAAAGCAAAAGTTACATGATATCAAGGCGATTTTACTGAACTTTATAAGTATCGAACTGGGGTATCATGCGAAGGCTTTGGAAGTTCTTACAAGCTCTTTTACGCAAGTAAACAACATTAATGAGGATGTTGATTTAGAGGTAAGATTCGGTTAACTAAAAATAGTCTATATTTAATTATTCTATTATTCGCCGCATTTTTATGAAGGAATTTAATGAAACAAGAAATAAACTGGACTTGGTAATTATAAATTCAGTTATAACATATGCACAAATTTTATTTGTCATAGTTCAAAGTATAATAAATTTAAATGACTGATCATTTTACTATTGTAATATAAAATATATATAAATGTTTTAAATTATATAAAAATGAGTAAATTGGAAGGGTCTGTTATTCTCTAGGAATTTAAGAAGTCTTTACGTCTTTCCGGATCATTACAGAAAGCTGATGGATCAAGGGGATTATTACTTAGGTCTGCACAGTCGCTAGGATCTCTGGGATCCATATTTTCGGCATCTGGCTCAAGAAGACCGACAACTGCGTTACACCAATCCAAGGAAAAAATAAATAAACAGAAAACAATTAAATCAAATGAAAAAAAACATTCACAATCTGATGATGACTCTTCAGAAGAAGATACTTCTTCTGATATTGTCGAGGATAATGACGATTCTGTAGATACTGATAGTAAGCTGTCTAGTGATAAAGAATCACCTGTAGTCATTAGAAAAAGTAATATAAAACATTGTAATTAGGACTAACAATACAATATTATATTAGAATTCAACAATTTTTCCATTAATTAAAATACCCATTAGGTCTTAAATAAACTATTTAATAATAATTGTATTTATATATTCACTTAATTTTTTTAGTTTTGTCATACCATACTTATACACTTACTATAAATCTTAAATATAACAATTAGTTAGTAGTGCCTTTCATTTTCATGTCTCAGTAAGAACTACAAGAAATTTTCTATTCTAAATTATAAAAAATTAAAATAATACAGACAGTTCATTTTAAAGCAATATAGAACATAACATAAATATATAATATAAACAATTTTTAATTAAAATGATCCACATAGGTTATTTTTAATATCAAATAGGGAACTAACTTCTTACTTATATGTTAATGGTGCTAAATATTTTTACATTAAAATTAAGTGGGTGTATTAAAAACATTTTCGCTATTCTTCCATGATTAAATAAAAGGAATGAGAACTACTGATTATTTCTCAGCGCCTTCTACACCAGCTTGAGTCATTAAATCACCGATATTTTTCTCCAAATCGTCTATACGGGTGCCCATTTCATCAATACGCGTTAATATTTGATCAGACATATTTTGAAACTTATCCTGTATCGTTTGAAGTAAACTTTGTACCTAAAACAACACATTCATTCTTGTATTTACTTGTCACTAAAGTTCTATTTATGCTTACATATTGAGTTAGTTCTTGAACATTTTTTGGATCACTAGCATTAGCTCCACCATAGCTTTCTGTGTCGTTGTTCATATCGTCCTTAACGTCTACCATACTAAATTTATCAAGTTAAAAGACTTAAAACAAGCTTGTAATAAACTCCTACCTGTGACTGGTACAAAGAGGGTGAACTAGTAAAATATTATTCCTAAATCGCGTGTCAGGATGATTTTGGTATCCCACCCCTTTTATAGATTTATTAATGGTTTTTCAAAAACAAGTATATTTGGGTAACAACAACAGATTTAGGTTTATATAAAACTTTAAACATTCTTCGTTTAATCTACTTATTTTTTTTAATTGACATTAAATGACAATCAAAAATTTTGGGCATTTTTATTTTTTTAATATATAAAAAAATATAAGAAAGTGCGTTTTAATACTAGCGGGGTATAGCGGTTTTTAAGGATTTTAATAAGTAAGTTGAAAAGTTAAAAATTAAGGAATTTTTATACTCACTCAAACAAAAATTTACAAATTGTATCATATAAAATTTATATATGATAAAAAATTTTAAAATATTTTTTTCAGTTGGCCACGTAGCACATTAGTATAGGCCAATCAATTTATAAGAAGAAGAAATGGTAGCTATAAACTAAAGTTTTAACAAGAAGAAAAGTTAATTAAGAAAAATAAAAAATATTGTATTTGTTTATTACATATTACCTGTTTAAAAACAAATTAAAAATGAGCCTAAACGATTTTAAATTTGATTTCAAAACAATGAAACAAGATTTACTTAAAGCTATTCATGAATGTTCAGAAAGAGGCTTATTTCAAAGTGTTAAGTGGTTGTCAGAATTAAATTTTGCATTAAGTGATGTGAATGTTACGGCAGAAGAGATATCTCTTATTCAAGAAGACCCATGCAGTGAACAAGCTGAATATCTTATAGCAAAGTCCTACTTTAATATTAAGGAATATGATAGATGTGCTCATTTTGTTAGGAATTGTTCATCATCAAAGCCCAGGTTTTTGTACCTGTACGCTAGATATTTATCAATAGAAAAGAAAAAACTTGATGATATGACTGATGTAAATTGTCCACCAGATCCTACACAAAATGATGCATTAAAGGAGTTATGTTCCGAGTTCAAAAATGATTTTTATGATAATAAACTGGATGGTTATTGTACTTATTTGTATGGCATAGTATTAAAGAAACTTGATTTGAAATCTTTGGCTATTGATATTTTTATAAAATCTATTCAGCAAGAGCCGCTAATATGGGGAGCATGGTATGAATTAGGCAAATTGATTAATGAAAAAAATGTAAATCCTTATAATCAACTACCAGATCATTGGATGAAGTTTTTCTTTATAGCGCATACAAATTTAGAACAATTAAACAATAAAGAGGCATTGGATATGTATGAACATTTATATTCCATAGGATTAGAAAATAGTACCTATATTATGTCTCAAATAGCATTGGCACATCATAACACGAGAAGTAAGTTTATAATAAATACCTAAATTATATTTTATATATCACATTATTTTAAACAGAACATTAAGTAAGTTTTTTGTCACAATTTTAAGACATATTTCCGGGTTTTATAAATGTATTATTTGTAGATCTCTGGTCAACATACTGAGTCTTCTTTAATTTAGCTTGTTCTAGGCTTTCAATATTTTTTACCTGTATATAAAGTGCTTTACCTAGACAGCCAAAATCTTTTAGATATAAAAATCCTCCATCATTAACATTTCTGATTTCATACAATACAGGTGAACATACCATGACTATAAGATCTCTGACATATTTAGCTTCACTCATCTGCTGTTTCTGATAATCTAGGTAAAAACTGTGATAGTTTGTTTCAAGAGCTTTTTGTATTTTTGTACTGATAATGGATATTTCTGGTATTAAATGTATTTTAACTGTATCTTCTCCTAGACTGCTTAGTCCTCTAATTGCGCCATACGCCGTTGTTAGAGTTTTATTCATATCTCTAATGCCTTTTTTATAAACTTCAATTACTCTTTGTCTCATGTTATTTAAGTTATCATTATGTTTTTCACATATTGTTGCTACAATATATGTTGCAAAATCTCTTAGCGTCCAGTGATTATCATAATAATACTTGCTTATTTTTTTGGCTAGTGCACATGAGAGAATAGCCGGTAGAATTTCGTGAATATGAGGCTTTAAACATAAATAATTATTTGTCATTAAACATTTAGTCATTCGGACGGCATATATTAGTAAAGTCAGATCGGTCAAAGCTATATTCTGGTAAATAGTTTCTTTGATGAAGGCGCATAAAAATGGTTGTATCAGCGTAACGTGGTAATCGGTTGAAAGAAACTTAAGATACTCGTTTCTGATTTGTTCGTTGTATCCAAATATTCCCTCTGTGATTTTTACGAAATATTTTTGTTCTTCTTTGGACAAACAGTGCACGGATGGCGTAAGTTTGAGTAAGACCGTATCGGGTTTGGCTTGAAACTTGCTACACATCAACAAATAATCGAGTTTTTGATAATTTTTTTTGGATTGTTCTGACATTTTTTTAAGTCTTTATCACAAAACTACTTTTTGATTAATTCTGGCGTAACGTATACCGGGTGGTTCAACTTTAACCCCTCTTAATTTAACGGATTATAAATAGTTAGGCACTCTAATATATTATATGTATGGTCATGATAAAAATGGCACTTTTATTTTCGTAATAATTCGTTTATTAGTCGGGTTAAATTTTCCATTGCCTTCTTACAAGTTTATTTTAATTATCTGAGTAGGGTCCCTGTCAGTTAAAAACAAAAGAAAATAGGTAGTGTGATTTTTCACACTTTTAAGAAAATAAAAATTTAAAAATAAACAGATAAACAGTAAGAACTTATTATAATTTTCCCAAATGAAGTTACATTAGTGGTAAACCATATTTCAATATTTTTTATTTTATATCTATTCAGCTTTCTTTACACATTTTCAATATCTTGGAGTCAAATTTACTTTTCACAAAGTTCGAAAGCATATACAGGGTTGTTCACCACATACGACACGGAGTATTGTAGCTAAACGATTAGATTTTTACAAATTGTAAGTTTTGGGTTCGTTGAAGGACCATTACAGCTACAATTTAAAAATATTTTTACAAGATACAGAGTGTCCCAAATAAATAAAAAATATCAAAGTTGCATTTTTTTAAATGGAACACCCTGTATATTATTGCATTTTTAGTTTCTACGATTAAAATAAAGGTAAATTTGATTAAGGTTTATTACACTTAAATCTTACCGCTTTTGAAATATTTTCAATTTTGCGAAATTGCAGTATAAATTTTAACGCTCCATTTCTCCGAGGATATCAAAGTTTTTAATACTAAATATTTACTGAAGTTTATTTATTGATCATTTATTGTGTTGCAATAATAAAAATTATACTACCTTATACAGAGTGTCTAAAAATTTATTTTAAATAATTACTAGCTTTAAACGGCAATAACTTATTTAATTTAAATAGAACACCCTGTATATTTTATGAGAATCAGATGCACAATTTAATTGTTTATCAAATTGTATTATACCACTTCTTACCTATTCCTTCAAGTTTTCGTAGAAAATACATTTTCTTATAATTTAGACCTCATTTATCAATATACCCATGGAATATTGACATTTTAGATTGTTTTTAAAACAACAACTGTACAAAATGTACAGGCTAGTAATATTATCGTTTTTAGTAAAACGATAATATTACTAGCCCATTTGTATGCAAAAAGAAAACTATTTAAATCTTTATAAAAGAGTATACCATTAATTAAATATACCACCAGTATTTCAGCCCAAATACTAATTAACTACATACTTGTGTTCGTTAAAAAATTATTCTAAATAAATGTGGATTTGAATCAGAAATCAATATAATAATAAGTTATAAAAATGAACGTCTCTGTTGTTATAAATAAGCATTTGTCAAAAAATTAAATATCATTGTTAAGGTGTTACTTTTTATCACACTGTCTAATACACATACATAATTCAGTTTTTTATTATTTGTAGCAATTATTACTAATCAACGCAAACAGTCAATTAATGTAGTTTGAATACTGGAATCATATTAATTGGTCCTCTTTAACAAATATTTAAACAGTTTTTTTTATTTTTTAATGAAATAAACGAACTATATCGACAATATTAGTATCTGTACTCTTTAAAAATTTGGTACATCTTTAAAAATAATCTAAAATGTCAGTATTCCATGGGTATATTGATAAATGAGTTCTAAATTACAAGAAAATTCATTTTCTACGGAAACTTGAAGAGATAGGTAAAAAATGGTATAATACAATTTGATAGACAATTAAATTGTGCATCTGATTCTCATAAAATATACAGGGTGTTATATTTAAATTAAACAAGTTATTGCCGTTTAAAGCTAGTAATTATTTAAAATAAAATTTTAGACACTCTGTAAAAGGTAGTAAAGTTTTTATTATTGCAGCACAATAACTGATCAATAAATAAACTTCAGTAAATATTTAGTATTAAAAACTTTGATACCCTCGGAAAAATGAAGCTTTAAAATTTATACTGCAATTTCACAAAATTGAAAATATTTCAAAAACGGTAAGGTTTAAGTGTAATAAACCTTAATAAAATTTACCTTTATTTTAATCGTAGAAACTAAAAATGTAATAATTTATAGGGTGTTCCATTTAAAAAAATACATCTTTGATATTTTTTATTTATTTGGGACACTCTGTATCTTGTAAAAATATTTTTAAATTGTAGCTCTAATAGTCCTTCAACGAACCCAAAATTTACAATTTGTAAAAATCTAGTCGTTTAGCTACAATACTCCGTGTCGTATGCGGTGAACAACCCTGTATGTTCTAAATATCTAATACTATTTTTTGAGATTATTATATATTTTTAGAATTAGATGAAGCCATTGGTATGTTCAAGAAAATATTAGAATTTGATCCTTATCGTTTGGACAATTTAGATATATATTCGAATTTGCTGTATGTTCTTGAGAAAAAGACTGACTTAGCCGATCTAGCTCATAAAGTAGCTAGCACAGATAAATATAGGGTGGAAACATGTTGTGTTATTGGTAAGAAACTCAGAGAAATTAGAAAATATAGAGGAGCTTCAAAATATTTTTCGTTATAATGTTTGTTTACATCTTGCAATATTGCCAAATATAATGATGTAGTAATTGAAGATAAACAAATAGATTTCAATACGTTTGGGCGTTTGTGTTTACTTATTTCTCTGAGATAGCAGCTATATTTTTACTTTATACTTTAGTCGTAATAAAATATTAGTAGAAAAAAGGTGCAGAGACTTGTGAACTCTACATAGTCTGTTCAATAAGAGAATAAAAAACCGCACAAGTGCGAGTCTACGCTCACGTTTCTTTAAATATTTAAGAACAACAAAAAACAATTTGTTGTAATAAAATAAATATGATAGATATCTAAAAATTAAATTATTTTAGGTAACTATTACAGTTTAAGATCAGATCATGCCAAAGCCGTTCTGTATTTTAAAAGGGCCCTTAAATTAAATCCTGGGTTCTTATCAGCTTGGACCCTGATGGGTCATGAGTATATGGAAATGAAAAATACTAACGCTGCAATACAGAGTTACAGATATGCTGTTGGTAAATCTATTTCTCAAGTAGTTAGTTGTCTTCAAGAAAAAATAATTTTCTATCTTTAGAGGTAAATTCGCGAGATTACAGGGCTTGGTATGGCCTGGGACAAACGTACGAAATTCTAAAAATGCCGTTTTATTGCTTGTATTATTATAAGCAAGCTCAACAGTTGAAACCGAATGACAGCAGGATGATTATTGCCCTTGGAGAAACGTACGAAAGACTGGACAGGACTGAAAACGCCCTAAAATGTTATTATAAAGCTTGTACTATGGGTGATATCGAAGGTTCAGCGTTGACAAAATTAGCAAAGTATGTATATCCTTTTAGGGGTTTATACAGCGTGGTCCGAACTGTATTCCGGAAACTTCGATAGCATATTCTGTAGATAAAAGGAAGTAAAAAACTTCTTATAAATGTATGTCCTAAAATGCTTAGTTACGGAGATACAGGGTGTAGAAGTTTCATTTTTATTTCGATTTTTTCCAAATAATTTCTGAAGTAACGTCAATATTTGGATGAAAATTGGTGTCTGACAGTTTTTTGACATGAGAAATTTGATTTTGATGTCATGATCCTATTTGTAGAGGGCGCCACCTACATGTGTTTTAACCTTGTTTTAACTGTTTTAAAGAGTAATAACTTTTTGTCCGTACCTGTATAGAACTGCCGAGTGAAAAAATACACATTTTCGTATTTTTTTACGTAAAAAATGTCTCTTGGTAAAAATCGTTACGAGCAACCCTTCTCGAGATATTTAGAATGGAAATAGTCAATACCTGTCATTATTCACAAAAAATAAACATGTTGAGTAGATAGTATTTGACTAAAATGATAAATTTGGGAAATTTTTATTTTTTTAAATTAATCATAAAATTTTCTTCGAAAAAATGATGACTGATGATTTGACACAAAAACATTTCAAATTTATGATTTCCGTCTATTAACTATTTAGTCAACATGTTTAATTTATGTCAATGATGACAGGTATTGATAATTTCGATTTCAAATATCTCGAGAACTATTACTCGTAGCGATTTTTATTAAGAGATCTTTTTTACATTAAAAACGTTGTAAATGTATATTTTTTTACTTAGTAGTTTTATACGGACGAAAAGTTATTAATCTTCAAACCAGTTAAAAATATGTAGGTGGCGCCCACTACAAGTAGGAGTCATATTGACATCAAAATCGAATTTCATATATTAAAAAACTCCCAGACACCAAATTTCATCCAAATATTGACGTTACGTCAGAAATTATTTGGAAAAAATCGAAATAAAAATGAAACTTCTACACCCTGTATCGCCGAAACTAAGCATTTTAGGACATACATTGATAAGAACTTTTTTACTTATTTTTATCTGCAGAATATGCTGCTGAAGTTTCCGGAATACTGTTCAGACGACCCTGTATATTAAGCAACTTAATATTTACCTGTGTTATGTAAATCTTTATTATTTTTTTTTAAATGAAATTAAATTTCGAGTGTATAAGCGTTGGTTGAACAAATAAGATGCGCAACCGTATGGGCGATTTCGTAGCGCAAAACCTGTTTGAGATGTAGCTGGCATTACCAACATTACCGTCAGCCTGTCCGAGAATTCCGAGATTTAGTTTAGCTCTGCGCCGCTGGCCGCTGATCGACTCGTTTACAGCGCAGCGGATAAAGAATACTGTAGCAGACCGTACTTCTGCTTTCAGTCGACAGAGTGAGTGGTTGCCGGAGATAGCGTTGCCAGAACTTCTGATTAATCCGGGAGGGAGTTAAAAATTTTAAAAAATTGTAACTCAAATTACAGTAGCTAGCGAAACGCGGTTTTCAGTTTAAGATTAGGAATAATATTTGCAACAAAATTTGTAATAACATCAAAATCAGTTAAAGTCGCAGTTTTTGAGATAATTGAAACTAAAAGAACTGCCTACCAACTTTTTATTAACATATTTTAGTATGGGCGGCTGTACGTGCCTCCCGGCGCCAATTTTTTTATAGGACATTTTTTTAACAAAATTCGTCTTTCTGATAATTAAACTTCGTCTCTTAAAATGATAAAAAATTCTTTTTTTACTCTTTATTGCATTTTATAAAAGCTTGTAAATTAAAAAAAATTGTAATACTACTCTATCAAAGCTGATTTTCTCCCGTAATACTACTCTACCACCAGAGACAACTACCACCGATCATACAGACGCATATCAAATTCTATTGAAATCAGTTCACAGGAAGTTTGTCAAAAATGCGTTGCAAGCATTGCAAGATTTGAGTGATGTGAATTTAAACACGTATATGAAAAAATATATTTTTTAATGTGTCAAAATTAAATACCTATTTGTAATATGTATCTCTTGCCCAATTTGATCCCTTAACAATAATTATTTATTATATTATTGTATTATATTTTTGAAATCTTCATGGTTATATCGTATAAAATCGGATATTTCTTTGCAAACTCTAATAATCTTTCAGTGGCAGACATCTTTGATTCGCAACGAAAACGATAGAAAACGCGGCTGGTCGCGAAATAAATCAAATTCGTTGCAGTTTCGTTGTCGCCAAGCGAAATTTTCGCGCCGGTTTGTTCCTCCTTATTATACACCGAAGGCGAAGACTTTGAGTCGACGAATATTTCGCGATGCGAAAATTTCGCCGACGCGCCGAATTACAACCTTTATTCTACGTTTAACACGAATAAATTTCTAAGACATAAACGCGGATTTTTCATCCAAATATATTTTTGTCAAACGTATTACAGATATTACATATTTTAATATGGCAACACTGTCACTTTCATATCCACACCGTCTTCGATATGCCTTCGTTGGCCGAATTAGAGAAAATAAGTGTTTTACGCGTTGGTCGCAGAACGATTGGTGTCTCCACCGTACAGCATTTGAGACGCAAGGGGAAATAAAATCAGGCTTGTCACGAATTCGCTCATTAGATTGCGTATCTTACCAATTCTTTCAATAAACGGTATAAGCTAGCGTTTAACTGCCGTCAGTTTTCTAGATGGTCGTCTTTTATACTTGCCACACAAGATTAGGGCTTTAAATTTGATATTCTATGATCAACATATCTGGCAAAACTTTTAGGTTATATGATAAGTTGAATGAAACAGATAATGCGGCAGCGGTCTTTATCGAATACTGCCTAAGAGAAGAGGACAGAGAAGATAAAATTCCGGAAGACCAAATAGAATACTATAACGCTCTTCAGTATCTTGCTAATTATTACCTAAGGAAAGGAGAATTGGACGATGCTAATACCTATGCTTACAAATGCATGGAATGCGAAGAGGTATGAGAAAAACTGGCACGTAGGGTTAAATTTATTTTTTCACTGGATAGGTTGCTAGAAAAATACCGATGATCGAAAAAAAACGACGTCAAAGGCAGCTGGGGAATGACAATCGATGATAATTTTGGCGAGGTCAAGCCCTAGACGTCATTACTTCGCCCGTACTCTTCTTTATTTTTTTATTAGCGCTTACTACTAGTTAGCCTTAAAAGTGTATTATGCCTGTACTGTTCGGGTCGCTCTCATGGGTCGGGTAGGGTTAGGTTAGGTATGTGTCCGAAGGAAATATGTATTATATTTCAGAAATCTGCCTAAGGTTTAGCCCAATCCTGTCGTGATAAGCCACACTCAAAATTTCAAACACACGTGCTTTGATTAAGGCTTGATTAAGGTTTGCAGAACTTAAACATCTGCGATAAAATAATAGTGTTAATTTTGAGAAGTTTTACGTCAATATTTAATAAATAAAGTCGTGATTGGCATTGCCAAAATTTTATCATCCATTTTTATTCCCCAGCCCTCTTTGACGCAGTTTTTTTTTCGATCATACGCTATATATCCAGTAAAAATATGATTTGGACCTTTGAATAAGAAGACTAAGGAAGGAGCATAATGCTATCCATGAATTCATGCATGGTGGGCGGAAAAGCCACCATAAAAGCTCTCTAGGGTGGGGATCCTTGACAGTTCTGTTTGACGATTCATTTGACACATTTGAATTTGATTTGAAATTTTGTGGATTTGTCAGTCTTTACGGAGCTTATTTTATGTTATTTATTATTTATTCTACTACTGATAGTTGTATAAAGGTAGTAAATCTAGATGGAAATTGTGGCAGAACTTAAATTAACAGTGACACTATCGCGATTTATCGAAAAAGACTCTAAAATAGTTGGTTGTGTAGCGTGCGGTAGATCTCGGCAAAAATTGAGTGAAATAATGGAACAACTTTTCGCTAGTAAGTGACTATATAATATACATACGTGTAGTAAACCCGATCATTTATGAAATTCACTTAAATTAACTAAATTATATATTTTTCTCATTGCATTTTAGCTTTTATTTATTACTTGTCAAAGATTAGATGTCAAAGAATTTAGATACGTTAATTTGACTTACCTGCTTCAGTAGCGTATCGGATGTTTGTGTTAATAAATACTTATTATAACTTATCTATTTTTATTAGAATTATATATTTTTATAACAATTTTAATAACTACCAACATTTATTCACAACGTAAAATAAAACAACAAATTATTGAGTCTACCCCACGTCTACCCGACATCATAGTTTTACATTTTTTAAATAAAATTAGAACGACACTGATAAACCGGAATTTAAGTCGGCCATATTTGAGGCCCATCGCGGTGTACCTAAGATTTTTGATATGCTCCTTCCTTAGTCTTCTTATTCAAAGATTTTGACAGACGACTTCTAAAAAAAGACAAAAGAAGTTGGCACAAGTAAAGGCACAGAGTTTTCTTATTTATACTTTATAATATTTATAGACAAAGGAACAAGGAAAGGCCCTCTTGAAAGCAATCGCGGCAAAAAGGATTGAGCAAGATGATGACCATAATGGCGGCGAAGTGAGTATGTCCATTGTGCAAGAGGAATCTTTTTCCCCATCGAATACAAGCTTGTAAATTATTAAATATTTTTTAAAATATTTAATATTTTTTTTATTAAAGAAGTTAAGTAAATTTTTTCTCATATTTTATATCCAACATTTTTCTGCGTGTATATATAGTATGTTTTCCAAGGTTAGATATTTTTTTTTTACTTTTAATCTGAATTTCCAAGTCGTTTTTAAATCATTCTAGTCGATGTGTCAACACTGGGCATCGAACAAGTTGAGATTCTGGTAATTGCTTGGTATTTGCGGCTGATTATCGATTGCTGCCGGCGCAGCGGCTCTCAAAATGTTGCAAAATGCTCTGCAAAAAGTTAAATAACTGGGTGGTTATTAATTTATTTTAAAAATGGTAAAGAGAAAATATGTTTCTTTTGACCAGATCTACTATCCCTTAAAATTCTTGCACTTATTTCTGGGACACCTTGATATTCCTTGCTGGGTAAACTTGAATAAAAAAAACCTAATTCGTGTATACAAATTTATTGAAACATAATCTAAAAATTAAAACTACATTCATTTTTTTTATTTAAATATATAAAGCCGAGGCCACAGACCCGACGAAACTGTACATTTGGCAAATTATTTTTCCCATTATTTCTGTATTTCGACGATTTTCTCTCTCTCTCTCTCTCTGTATTTCGACGGTCGAATCCTCACAATCTCGGGGAATTACCATCAAATCTAACAAACTAAAATATTACAATAAGTCTTAATCTTCCTACAAACGTTTACCTCTCCTTAAAATACGAAACGCATAGTATTGTAATACATGTAATTCATTAGACGTGGGGCTCTATATCGTTTCGTTCTGTAAAGAAATCAGTAAGAAATATGTTCGTTGCGATCGATATAAATATGCATATCACTAACATTCTGTAATAATTATTAATATTTTGAGTGTCCATCGCACAGATCAGTCAGCAGCGACCCCTAATCTTCTCCGATTAGATCACTAAATAAAAATAGAAACGAACCAAATACTAATGATTGATTTGATCAACTCAAACACTAAGTCAACGGAACACACACACATTTATTACAAGTGTTTGTTTTTCTTTGATAAGACACTTTTTTAACCACCGAGTACGTGGAGGGCTAAAAAATAGTTTAAATAGTTTTTTCTTGTATCACACTATAATATAAATTCCTATACAGTTAAGTTGCTCGGATTATGTCGAGAGAGATATGAACATAAATATAATATTAGTGAAGGCCCTGAATTATATACAAAAAAGACAATTCTAGTCGTTTATGTTAAAAAGTTTTTTTTAAATATTATGTTTATAATGGGTTGGTTCAAAGTTCATCTCCTTGAAATTTTTTGTATTAACTTTCATCAAACTTAAAAAAAATGCCGCCACAGTAAAACCGGCGAATTTCTAAATTAAATTAAGCAATGACTTTATTGACTGAAAAATTATTATTCATTTTAGAAAAAGGCAAAAATGAACGAACACAAATCTTTTTTCAAAAAATAAGTTTTATTAAAATTATTTTCTTGTGAGATTTAAATATATTTTTTTAATTTTTCATGGCAAATTTTAATAAGGTCAATCAAACAAAAATTTTTAACTGTCGTTCCCAACTACTACTATGACACATTTTTTCCAACGTATTGCCAATATTGTATACTATATTTGTGATTGGAATGTCTAAATTAAATTTAACAATGATTTTTTAAAAAAATATTGTTTAATTTAGAAAAAAAGCATAAGTTTCCAAATATATCTTAGTTTCTTATTTTTTTGGGGGGCATAAAAGAGGGCGAATTACAAAAATTATCAACTGTCATTTCAAAGGTTCCTGTGGCACCGTTTTTTTTCGATTGTTAATTAAGATGTTTTTATGAAATATTGAAAAATAGAGAATTCTAACAAAAAAAAAATATATATATAACAATGAACTTTTTTTATTGTAAAAAAACTATAGAACAAGTGTTAGTCAATCTCTAGCAGAGTAATAGTGTTTTTGAAGCTTAATTTACAGGAAATCAGTAAAACAAGATGGTCAATTTTTCTCAACCCAAAATAAACATTATTATTAAACGAAAAAACACAAAAAATCTCCACCTATTATGTTTTTTTCCTTCCAAACGTGCCAAAAAAACAAAAGCCAATCGAAATTGAACGTTACTCTATAATAATTAACTGATTTTTACCATCTTTTTTTATATAAAAGAATGAGATATATATTATATATATTAAAGATATTTTAAAATTTGCGGTTGGTGGGCGCGCGGGTTTTTTAAGATAAGTGGAACGAGTGTTGTCCCTCGGACGCGGCCACGTTCAGTTTCTCTCTCATCACTTCCACGCTCGAGTAGTCGGGCAGTTTGAGGTAGTTGACGCATGTCATCACAGATGGAAGGAAGTCGTCCGGGTTCATGTTCGTCTCCAGTGTTTTCCGTACGACGGTCAGGGGCGGAGACAACGACTTGAAGCCTGCGAAAAAAGAAAATAGCGTTAATCACCCAGTATATACCTAGTTTCTTTATACAGGGTGAGTTGGTGCAAATATTTTCAGGGATGGTATATTTCGACCCCAGGAACACGTCTATGAGGTTTTTTTCGCAAAAAAAGATGGTAAAAATCGTGCATTTTCTTTTAAATTTTCTTGTATATTTTTCGCTGCCTGTTCACCGCAAATTTTCCCACGGAATAATTTCTTAATCTCTGATATTACCATAGTTACGGCTTTACTCCATAGTTACGGCTTTACTCCATAAAAGGCTTTGCTAAAAGGGATGCAAATACAGAAAAAATACGGTGGCTCTCAAATTTTTTTCAATAAAATTTTTTTTTAATTTTCAAATTTAAATAACTCGATTATTTTGGACTTATCTGAAAAATGGTAATGTAAATGGTAATGTAATGGTAAGAGAAAATATGTTTCTTTTATCGAGATCTACCAGCCTTGAAAATATCAGCACTTATTTAAGACTCACCCTGTATAGGCTTATTCTATATGTATGTATACAGGGTGCTACAAATTCGAGGTACGAGCATTGGTATCTCGGAAAGCGTAATAGATACGAAGATGGGCAAATAATAGATATGAATTGGGGCAAAGTTGCGCCTTGGAATGTTCACCAAGGTACTATCAAAAAAGTTTTTAAAATTTCAAAGATTGCTGAGTTTTTTGGAAAAAACGATTATTTATTTGAAAATCAATTTTATTTTTTCCTGTCGTTACTTTTTAGAAAATCAAAAAACTAATTGCATATTCTCATAGCCACTTTATTAGGGATATCTGACAGTATTTTTAGATTTTCAAATTAGTTGATAATTGGTGAGATACAGAGGCCGATTTAATATATTTAAATACGGACCTGCATTTTTTATTTCAGTTTTTGAAAGAATCTGAGTACAATGATATGCCACACTTTATAATTTTTTTGTTTTGGGTACCTTAACAACAACAAAACTATTTAATTATTATTTAAAATATTTTCAAGTCCGACCGTGGTTTTTTAAAATATTTAATCTGATTATATTCATTGCAACAATATTGATCAGAGCTAATTAACATTGAATAAGGAAAATCGAGCCAATTGAAAGATTCAAATAAATAATATCCAGCTCAGCAAATTAAAGATATTATTTTTAACTTTTTTTATTGTGAATTTGAAATTCTCAGTGTACAATCTAACAATATGCATATTTTAATACATACAATTATTTATAATCGTAGTTATTATAAATAAATCACCTTCAACAAACTAGTTTCTAATGCTCTACATGTTCGAAACGGTTACCACCTTGCCTATTGCACAAATTTATTATTCTTTCAATTAAATTTGCTTTTGCCAGACATTTTTTGTGCGAGAAACCCTAAAAACAAAGATTTGAAGACAAAAAATTATGGCGGAGGTCGACCTTGTTGATGGTTTTCATTTTGAAATCTACACACAGACAACTATTTTAGTTTGGTATTTTGTTTCTTCACATTTAGAAACAGTGGCTGCTGAAAACGAGAATATCTTGGACACAAATTGCAGAAAATGTTTCGAAACATTTCCTCTAAAAGTTTTGATTCTGTATCGAAACATTTCAGGAAACGTGTGGTGCCACCACATAGGAGACACAGGTAATAAACCCATATAAAATATATAGGTTTTGAAAATGTTTCTTACTTATGGCATACCGTTTCAATTTTGTGCCATGAAACAGACACGATTATTAGAAACACCTAAAATGTGTCCAAAAATGCTACTTGGGATTTCTGTAATAATAAAAATGATTTGGCAATTGCACGGTATAATATTTGACTAATAAAGACACTTTTCTTAAGTGCACTGTTAAAACGTTTTTTTATAATTATGATTTAAATGAAACATTAAACACAATTCAATTTATAAGTGGATTTTTGGATCTAGTCTGGACAAAGTATAGATTACATATATTTTTACAATACTGTTGGTAGATTTTACTGTCAATTTTACAAATGACGATAGTAAAACTGAGGCGTGTCTACCTTTATAATATTTGCACATAAATTTTGAACAACTAAATAATTTTCATACATAGCTGTAAATGTAATTTCAATATGCAATTGTATTAAATAATAATATACAGACCGGACCACCGTAGTAGTAACATAGGCAGAACCGGACGAATTAGCGTATACCCGTCCGCCGGATAAAAAGCAGGCGAAAAAATGCGATAAAATAAAAATAGGTAGATATGTGATAAGAATGTTTCAGAATTTGTATTTATTCGTGTTTTAATAGCCAAAACGAATACATAGATTTTCGCGACAGTTCTCGCGTAAAATTTATTTTTTTAAGTAAAATAATGGATGTTTACGAAGTTCGTCAAGAAAATTCAAATTGTAAAATGGTATTTCTAAAATAGGTCTTATCGGGATATACAAACAAATTTTCCGCAAACTTTTGTAAACAGGCCAATTCCATCTCTACCTACTATATCAAGAGTTATTAATAATTTTGAAACACATGGGTGCGTGTCCCCACAAAAAACACAAAAAGCCTGATGTGTTGATTAATGAAGAACAGAAGTTAAAGCAAGTGTTCATTTCTGCTACCGCGGATCAAAATCCCACGTTTTCAAGTTCAAATCAAATTGCTGAGGTGGTTGCCCTGCCCACAATGCCCGTATTGTTCAAGAATATTTGAACAATACTTTTCCCAACCGTTTAATTAGTCGATATGGAACTATTTTGTGGCTCGCTAGAGCACCAGATCTTTCTCCAAATGATTTCTTTTTGTGGGGTTATGTAAAATCCAAAGTGTATGGTCATAATAGGGTTAATAATCTGGATGAGCTTCAAGTAAAAATACGAGAGGCTTTCCAAACTATTAGCCCTAATATGTTAACCAATGTCAGACGGGGATTTTACGACGTTCTGTCTAGCACAAGAAGGTGGTCTTTTTGAACACTTGTTATAACTTTTTTTTATTTAGAGTAGGTAATATTTTAGTTTTTTTGGGGTTTAGAGAATTTATTTATTTTTAGTTTTGGCTTGTAAACACACTCAAATAATAAATATTTAAGTATTTTTATTTTAAATGTTACCTTAAGTGAAGGCAAACACTTAAAATGAAAATAATAAATACTCGGCACTCCTCGCGTTGTATTCCTAGTCTGTCACGAATGACCCGTCCAAGCACAACTGTAACTGCGTACTGCCTGACCAGCCGACTAGCCGGCAGTGAATCTCGAGTACGAACGCAAATCGGGTAAACGTAAATTCATCCGGCAACTTGCTATGTTACTAGTAGCCTGGTCTTCTCTGTATAGTACTCTACACATCTCGTCATAGAAAATCCGTGGTTTGGATTTTAACGTGTAAAATAATGATGACCAAGGACATAAAAATGTCCAAATAAAAATCACCAAAACTTATTAATTATCGTTTTGTATTATCTGTAGCTTACCTCCTACTGGTAACCTGGGACTACCGGTTAAAAATTGCACAAACATTCTTTGTTCTTCTCTGTCGTACGAGCTGAGTACCTCGAACAGGAAGCGAATGGCCCGCGAGTCGGCAGTGTAACCGTGATCCGGTCTGCAGCACTCCATCAGGGTTTTAACGTCCCATCCGGCGACATGGTCCTATAAAAACAAATACAATTTAATCCATTGAATAAAAAGAAGTTAAGTCTGTATTTACCTTCGGACTACCGCAAAACACTTGCTCGAGCTCGTCGGGTTGGAAGACTCTTAAATTTCGAGATGGAAAGACGGAATCGAATCCTTCGCGCAGCGCCTCCATTTGACGGGACACGCCCTCGACTAACATCCAGTGTGATAAAACCTACACCAACCGAAAATTCAGTTAAAAATATTCAATTATTGGTAGTTAGTTCATAAAAAATCTTGTTAAAAGGGAAAGAATCGTCAATAAAGAACAATAGTACAAATAAAAAATGTCTATACCTATGTGGCCGATTCATTTCTCAAAAAAAAATCCTATATGGGTATTTCGCCACTGCAAATAAATTTTAACAACGCCAAAATTATAATGAAAGAAGCGATAGCCTCTAAAAGAAAAATAAGGGGCTTTTTTAATACAATTTAATAAAAATAAATATATTGCTCATGCATTTGTAGAACGAGTAATCTGTAGTAATGTAAGGCAATCGCTTCTTTGATTTTAAAGAATACATAAATAAACAAAACATAGGTAAAAATTAAAAACAAATTGAAAAGTCATACAGAAAGTTTGGAGCTTTTTGGTTTTACCTTATTAAGTTATCAGGTAGTAATTGTTAATTTTTTAAGTTTAACTTGATATAATGTCATTTTAACAGAACGTCAAAAATCTGTTTTAAAAAAACTAGTGTTCTCGAATTGTTGCACTGAAATGTTTTAAATAGTTTTTTTTCTTTATTTTTTGCTTTCGACGCGACGACGGAAAGAGATAAACTTTCCGAAACGTTAAGCATTTTTTTGTTTGTTAGGCAAATTTGGTTATCAGTAAACCTAATTGCTGACAATTAGTCTCCGTTGGATTAACGCAGCAGTGTTTACAAAATATAACTATTTTATTTTGTAGATTTTCTTGCAGTGGCGAAATATCCATATAGGATTTTTTTGGAGAGAATAGTACATATGAACTACTTTCAACATTTTTATAGTAAGTAAAAACTTCAACTTACCTTCACGTAAAGATGCAGATTATGGATGGTTAAATGAGTATTTTTCCCGTTCTTTATCAATTCCACATTGTACCCTGGCACCACAAAGTCTAAACCCAAGTCTTCTATTGAGCAACCGTCATATTCAAGTTTCTCAATCTATATAAATGAAAGTAAATAAATATAAACCATGAAAAACGCATCAGTGTCTAAACCATTACCTGCTCCATCTTTTCATCTTCGGACAAATCTCCGTTCTGTAGAATTTCATCTCTTTCCCTAACGATTTCTTGCATTTTTCGAATGGTTATATATAGATCTGGAGCTACATGTCTTAAATCCGCCATCGTTAGACTGTGTTCGTGACCTAATAGCCATCGGTAGAATGTAAGAGAGAACGGTAGATCCAACTAAAAAAAGTACCAATAAGTAAAGCAAGAAACCTTTCAAATGCAAGAGCGTGTAACATTATATTCTATATTTGATTTAAACTTACCATTCTGGAGTCCATCACAGCCTTTGCCATAAACTTTCCTAAAAACCTAAATTTACTCTTAATTTTCGTTATGGGTCCCAGTTTCGCTCCTCTGGCCAGCGGCGCCGGAAACAGACCCGACTGATTGTGCACGTACTCGCTTTCACTCTGACTAGCATTCGGAGCATACCATAAGTCCAAACCGTGCTAAAAACATACATAGGTTAATTCGATAATAATTTTGAAAAATATAACAAAATTAAATCACTTCTTGGGATAATTAAGCCTCAATACAACTGTTTATACCGTGCTGGCAACTGTTACTTTTGGGTCGGCATTTACATGTGTGGAAGTAAATCGCATAGGAATCTTATTAAGTCGGAGTGAGAGAAATGCGACGGTGTGCTGTTGCGGCGTTGCCGGTACGCCTTTCCCTATCAAGTAAAGTAAAATTACGATCGCAAACCGCTTATTTTTAACAGCCCATAACTCAAGAACCACTTTAGATATTGAAACTTTTTTTTATTTTCTCGATTTTAGATCGGATATTTTACAATATGTTTACATAAGAAAAATTCGATAAGGTTGTTTTTTCCATTCAAAAATTGTAAACAATCCCTCCATTTGCTTTCAGAGCATAGTAATTTTCAGCAATCGTGTAATTTTTTTATTGATAAAGATTTTCACATACTGTCTACAAAGAAAATACAGCAGAAATATTAACAAAGTTCTTGAAAAACTTACAATCTATTATATCTAATAGATTTCGAGATAGCGATTTTTGAATTCAGAGTTCTAACAGCGCGACCACTATCGAACACCCACTCAAATCCACTTATTTTTACCAAAAATTCAAGCTATAGGGAAAATTACAAGGACTCTTTAATAAATAAACAAATTAAGTATCACGAGACGTAATTAAATCGCGAAGCTGAATGCATGATGTACACCTTTCCCTAGAACTTTAAGTACTGACAGAGGTATTGATTGGGTCGACCGGTCAACTGCGACAAATCTGCTATATCCCCTTCCACGTCTCTTAGCGGTGTGCACAGTTTCTCGGTTTATTTCATACGTTTGGCAACGTGTTTACTGTCCTCTCTTTGTTCAGTACATTATAAACGCATTGTACTCTTCTTACATACGGAAATCTCGACCCAAGACTAACCTTTGCCAGCCCTTAGTATACGAAAAATGATGGTATATATGAACTACTTTATGTTAAAGCCAGGGTTGGGTAAATGACGCGTAGAAAATTTATTTTCTACGTGTATGCAGAAAAGTTCGTTGAAAATATAGAATACGTAGAATATTAAGTAGAAAATGTATAAAATCTGAGAACAGGTACAAAATTAATTTTGTATATTTCAAGCCATTTTTTTCACTTTAGAGAATTCTTCTTTTCTAATTTCTTTAAATTCTATAAGCGTAAAAACTGTAAAATGTGCGCGCGCGCTATCTCTCTATTCTGTGACAGTACTAACTCCCTGAAGATAAAGGACAGTAATCGATCTGAAGACTTAGAATTTTTTTTCTGTTTAATCTAAAGAGCGTACTGAAAAGTCTGATTTTTTTTCTTTGAAAGTTTTTGTTGTTCCATAAAAAGCATTTCATAAACTATATACATATAATAATTATAATTGCAGTTTGTAGTTCTTACTTTCATTATGTTTTTCTACGTTTGGATATGTAAAAAATGTAGAAAAATAATTTTCTACGTGTAGAAAATACGGCAGAAAATATAAAATTTTCTACCTACCCAACCCTGGTGAAAGCTTTATTCAGAATCTCGTAATTAGTGGAATAAATTAGTGGTTTCAATTACACTTTATACTTTTTAGTATACGATCATTCACAATGTCTAAAAAACACAAGTAAAATTAATCTGAACGAAGCCTAAATATCGCTATTCAAAGAAATAAGTAAACCTAGAAGAATTATTACGAAGTTACATGTTAATTACCTTTTGAAGCTCCTTGGAAACTAAAGCATAAAATTCTAGAGTGGGTCCTAGACCGGTACCCACTTCGTTTTCGTATTGCACTTCTAATAAAGCTTTGGAACCTGCGAGATCCTGCATCACCTGTTCCGCTTGTTTCAAAATATCTTCTCGAGAAATTGTCCGTTTTCGCCGATCTAATCGTGGCGTAACTCTCTCCTACATCGAAAGAAAGAATAATTTTAATCCATGTCTTACTGGCAGTAGTGTTGTAATAGAGTATATATATACGATTTAGATTTAATACAATATATTATACCATTTTAGTACTGTACAAATGACAAACATACCTGAGAATCGCTAGAACTCAGCTCTGGAGACATGTCCAGCAGTCTCTGCAGTGCTCTATCTCTGTCGAACGACGTAGCATAGAACAACAGTTGCCTGGTTTCGAATGGAAACAGGAACGGGCAAGCCGTGGCAATTTGGTGCAGCCAATTAGGCAAATTGCCCGTCATGATAACCAGAGGATCTTGTAACTGTCTACTAGCCTTGGCGGCAATCTTGGCGTTGATAAATTCGGATACAGATAAAATAGGTCTATACTCTACGTTCGGATACAGTGCGCCCCAATACAAATTTAAGGCGTTTAGTATTCTTAAAAGACACAGCACTTCGAGCGATGCGTCTCCAATGGCAACAGTTTCGGGAAGCTGAGTTGTTAGGTATGGCGAGAGTGGAGATTGTGTTGCAGGCGTCAAACCTAAAATAAGAATTAAATATTTTTAGGTAAATATTTGATTTTTTCTTTTAATATATATCTTCTCACCTTCAGTCCAAAGTTCATCACCTTTTCGTCTTGATGTGCTTTTACCTGAAGATCCTTTACCTTTTCGACTAGAATGATTCCACGAACTACTACTTGTACCAGATTTATGACTTGATGCAGGTGGGTCCTCTTTTAATGGTCTAAGTAAACAAAATATTTGTTATATTTAGTCTGTTCTTGATAACAAAGCTTTCTTAAAATATGCAATTTATGATTTTATATTGAATTGAAATAATACAGGCGTGTTTATATGTACCCGTCGGGCTTCATACAATTTTAAATAATAAATAGAGTAATAAAGCGCAAAAAAGTACTGTAAAGTATTAAATTATAGAAATGAAACATTAACTAAACCAAATGATGGCCAATTTTAATATGACTATTAATAACTTATATTTGATTTTATTACTGTAAACACATACCTGTAATATATTACATGTGTTTGTACCCAAATTCCAGCATTACCCAAAGGAGTCTCATTGTCCGTATCCGTCTCGCTCTGGTCATTTCCGTTATTCGAAAATTGTCGCACAGCCTGATATACGGTCATATTATATGGAAGAACGTTACTTCCTAAAAATTATATTAGTTACAATCAATAACAGAGAAAAAAAAACGAAATATAGACTCATACCTATTAAAAATTGCAACTTATGTCTAGTCCCAGATTGCGATATGCCTACTGCAGCTAAGGTATCATCTATATCAGTATCAGAGTCACCGTCATCGCTATCCGCACTATCTTTATCTCTCAGTCTTCCATAACCTAAAAATATTTAAAATTAGAAAAAAAAATATTTAAAAAACATCAATTTTCGAACCTCTAACAACTAAGTAGCGTTCAATGGCTTGAACTAAGGCTAAAGGATCGATCTTGACTGTACCGCCCTTCCACTGCTTCAGATTGCTACAATCCGGGTGTCTTTGTAGATTGCATTTTAATTGGTGAGTATTGAAGAATTTTAGTGCGCTTGTGCCGCCCCTGCCTGCACCGGAAGTAGCTGGTAGATCGTGTACTTTGACGGGAAATTGCTCCAATTGAGATACACAACCTGCAAAGAAATTGATATACTGTACTACCCCGATTTTTGTAAGCTGTGACCAGAGAGTTGTTGACATATGTCAAAATTATTTCTTACTGGATATGCTGAAGAAATACTGCCTAACTTTTTTTTCTGTTAAATCAATAACAATTTTTCCCCATTTATTGCTAACTTTATTTTCAATAACCTTTTTTATATAAATTTTTTTTTAATTTTTTAAAATTTCATTGGTACAAACTGTAGCAGTAGTTCATTTGTACCATTTACTTACTGGGCTTCATTTTGAACAAAAACATAAAAATCAATTCAATTTCGCCATAAACAAATCAAATAATGTATGATCAAAAAATTATTGTTATAAAATATCAAATACATAAAAAAATACATATAAACCATTCTTACCATTTAATTTTGCCACCAGAGCGCTCATCCACGTCGAATTGATATTCCTGATTTCTTGCACGTTCGATTCCAAAGGAAAATCACCAAAAACGTTCAGCAATATCCTTAATCTTTGATCTCGGTCAAAAGGACCGTTTACATCGGCCAAGTAGGTTAGTAAAGCTTTAATGAGGCCCGAATAGTTGACTTCAAAGGGTGAAATGTCTGATTCTATTAAAATTTCTCGCAATTCTAGTAAAGCTTCTCCACATTTTCCTGTAGGCAACTTATCTATGGCGAATTTGAGACGAGTTAAGACGGTGGTTGCTGGATGTTGTTCGTCTTCGTGGCCTAGAGGAGAAAAACAGTAAAAATAATGAAGGAAAATTATGATAAATAGAAATAAGTTCTTTATTTTAAATATCAAAAAAACAACTTATCTAAAATGTTGAGAGGGGAACGACGTCTTAGTTACAACTTTAAACTAACAACACAGAGATCTCTCACTTTCTTTAAGGAACTATACAAAATTCAGGTTGCCATTGAGAGAAAACCCAAGTGTATCTTCCTTAATCACAATAAAATACATAAAAAAAAACAAAAACTTACTTGAATAAGTTTCAATAAACTTATTTGCCTGTTCTCTGATCCAGGCTCTAGTTTTCTCTCTGTTCCCGGCGGTTATATGAGAATTTGACGCGGATTTTGACAGGTTGTTTAAAGAATCCTTGCTGTAGTTTCTTTCGTGGGACGAGTTCATACTTCTTCCCCACCTTGCCGGGTTTAGGCTTTGCAAAAAACTGCTTTTCGATGTTGAACCAGTGTACCTGAAGAAGATCCAAAGGGCTTATTACTACAACTATGGAAAATTTAAAATTTAAGGCAATAAATTTAGTTGAACAGAGACAGATTACAGAAAAAAGAACACAAGTATAAAAAATAAGGAGTACCATTTAGGAGAAAATAAAAACTAATTTTAATTCATTTGCGAATAAAATTGACAAACAACAGCTGTCACTGTAATGCATCCTCTGGTTAGAGAGACTAGTTATTTTACAAATCATTAAGGCATAATATTAATTTTAATTATTTCATAAATACTTAGTAGTTCATTTGAACATCTTTACTCAAAAATATGAAAAAAAAAAATCATATACTAGAATAAATACATACCTGGGTCTTTGACCACTGGCTGGTGTCGTAGTATTTGTAGAATTGGCCCAGGACGCCGCTTTGCTGAAGAAATCTTGCATCAAAGAGGGAGACAGCGGCAAATCGTCCTGTCTCGTCTTTGATCGGTTACTAGTACTTCCGCTCGTTCGTTTAGTAGCTCTTTTCCTCTTCAACACGTCTCCTAAGCGTACTGTAGGACTAGGAGAACGTACGTCGCTGTCTTGAACGCGTTGAGCGTCGGGAGTGGAAGAATAAATTGTTGAAGTTAAAGGAGTACCAACCTATAAGAAAATTATATCTTTACTGAAATCTGTTAAGATTAGAATGTAGTACTAATTGGACCACTTAGTTAAAACGATCTAATGTAGGTGTATAAACAATTCTTGCTTGCTTTTCTATATTTACAAGGCGTGCAAACAACTTGCTTTACTATATTTATAAGGCGTGTAAAAAGTTCGCAATAAAGTTGTCGCTAGACGACTTGCCCTGTAATTTCTACGTATTTTTTGCTACTGGGCAGGCTGAACTGATTTTCAATAATCGTTTTTTATAAAAATGCAATAATACACATTTTCCGATTTGTTAAAAACTTTCTAGTACAAACTGCAGCAGTAGTTTATTTGAACCTGTGCCTTACTAGTATTTATTTAGAACAAGAACACGAAAATCATTAAATTACACGTTTTGATATAAATTGAACGAGTACTTGTACCTTTTGTACAAAAAACAAAAATTAATTCAATTTCTTCACAAATAAGTCAAATGATGAATAATCAATGATTATTATGAACTATGAAAAATAAAGCCGAAGTAAAAATATACTTACAAGTGATGCTGAACCATTTGCGGTAACGTGTAGACTACTACTCGAAGGTTGCGAGGTGCTAGGTTGAGATTCTAGTGTGGAGGAAAATGATGCGGAACTGCAACTTGCCGATTTAGGAGGACTGACACCAAGAGGAACTTCCGGATCTGCTAGCCTGTTTACTTGGTGAAGAACTCCTTCGCGTCTAATAATAAAAAATACCACAACTTATAACAAAGAAAATAAATTTAGTAAGTCTAAGTCTCTAAGTTAAGTCTAGTATTTTTTTGCCTGAACAAAAACCAGGAATAAAATCAAATTGATCAAGAAAACTATATTTTAATGCTACAAAAAGTGCGTAACGTACATAATGAATTATAATACGATTAAGTGCCTTCTACTAACCTAAAATGTACTCCAAACTCATCAGGAAGTTTGTTCATCAAAATTTCGGCCATTTGCAAAGCTCCTACAACAATTCTTAAATCGCTGGAAGCCATCATTCCTGCCAAATGACTGCTCACGATCTGATTCTTTAAAACTTCTTTTAGCAATTCTGGCGTGGCATAATATACCATTCTGAGCAAAGCTTTTAGACACTTGCATCGCACAGCTGGCCCGGCGCTTGAAGAATAAACTTCGTATAACACTGAGAAAAGCGATCTAATGAAGGCTGCAGCTAAACCTCTTTCTTCCCTCAAACAAGCAACCCTGGCATCCCTACTAGCTGAACTAGGTCTGCTTGACGACTGAGCCGGTTCAGAAGAACTAGACCTATTGCTGGTAGGCGTGCATAACCTCTGAACTGGTCTCGAAGTTCCCGTGTCTTCGTTAATTTGTTGCATGGAGTGAAAGTCAATTGTATATATCCTACCTGTAATTAAAAAAGTAAAAACATTTTACAAAGTTTGTATGCTACTTTATTTACAATTAAAAATTTGTCAAGAATAATCAAAAAGGAGTTTTTAAAATTAGCTAATTGTAATTATAAAATGATGAACAAAATAGAAAGCTTACCTAATGTATTTAAGCTAACTTCATCCTCGCCATTTTGATGAGCAGACTCAATAATTCTCCCATCAACTGGTCCATATGGATGCCACCAACCTCTATCATCTCTCCATTGCCAAATCGGTTGATCCTTCGCCATACTAATAGGCCTCTCCAATAGTGTATCAACAGAGAATATTCCATCTAAAAATTAAAAAAAATATATTAATAAATTCGATTTTTTCGTCAACTACTTTTCAATCCTACCTGTGGGTAACTTAGGCATCAGTTCTCCTATTAAGCAAGTGATTTCAAACAATTCTTGCGGCTGTCTAGGAACGAGCTCAATGATATCGTGGTTGATTTCCGCAGATCCGGTCAATAAATATAGTAAAGTTTCGGCTATGCTCTGTTTGAGTAACGTCAGTGCCAGGTCAGGGCAGTTAGCGCACATCACAGACAACATTCTCAGCACTAAGAAAAAAATAAATCAATTATTACCAAAAATGCGGTAAAAGGATTGAAAGAGAAAAAGGTAAGTTATCTTAATAAATCCTCGAACCTAATAAAAACGTAACAATACATTCTACCAAATGTAAACAAAATAAATTTAGTAGTTTTTTATATGTTTTTATTTCTTTTTAAAGAAATTTTACCTGTAATGAAAGTCCCTGTACTAATAATAGGAGGCGTCACCACTAACAACTGTTGCAAATTGGTCAATAATTCTGGACTAGCTATTTCCTGTAATCTGGCTGGTTCTAACTGGAAACTATCTACAAGTCTGGAGAATGCCAGACAAACGCTTTCGACGCACTTTTTGTCTTGCTGGGTCAGTCTGGAGGCAAGAAGAGGTAAGGAATCCTAAAAAGACCCAAAAATATTAAGTAAAATTCTCATATTTGTTGGATTAATATTACTACTGACCTGTACATATTGAAATTCTTCTGAAGTTAAATTGAGACAACAATTGGCAGTTACGGAAAAGGCGTTACGCTGAGCATTGATAGGGAAGAAATCTAAGTAGGTCAGACATGCAGATACACCTCTCTAAAAAAATAATAAAAAACACTTTATAAACATACATTAATATACAAAATAAAAAAAAAAAGAAAATATACTGTTAAGCAGACTCGCTATGTTTTAAACATTTTGTTTAAAAAATAGTGTTTAATAGTGTTTAAAAACCATTACTTGTTTTAAATACTTGCTTAAAACTGTTTAAAAATATTTCTGGTTTCTAGGTGTTTGTGTCCAATAAAAAAAATAAGACAAACTTTTTGTTTCAATAATTTAATAAAACAAAAAAAGTGCGAGTGCAAATAAGTACCGAAAAAAATAACGAATTTATCAAAAAATTAGAGATTAGTCTGTTCGCATCGTAACTTATAACTTCTTAAAAAATAGCAATAAATCTATTTGACTAAAACTTACAGCTTGTAAGATTGACTTCGAATGTCTTCTGGACAGCATGTCGAGAGCTGTCAAAGATTGTTCCGCCACGTCCATACACTGAATCACTTGTAATTTTTCCAGGAAAACTGGAACGGCATCGACCACAACCGTCGAAGATCTGGGGAGAGCTTCCATCATATAAGTCAAAGCGCGGCAGGCATGATTCATCTAAAAAAACATCACCGTTTTATGTTAGAATTCAGTATACAGACGATCTATTTTTTAAAAGAAAGAGTAAACGAATAAATGTCTGCAAAAGAATACACAGTCAACTGAGTCTTGAAAAGAGACTGCACCTGATATGCACCATAAAGTTTTTATTTTGGCATATTTAAAAGAATATCAGTACAGAGGCATATTAATTAATAACCACCATGATATTCTTTGTATAAAAATGCCGATAATTTATATAAATTTTAACATAAAAATAATCCCACAATAACTTGACAAAGAGGCTGACTGTTATATAGTTCTTCTTGTGTAACTTTTCACAACACGACACCTCAGTGCTTTAAGCCTCATTCAAAACCTCAAAATTAGTGGAATAAATTAGACGTTTTTATTTTTACTTTGTACTTAAGAGTTTACTATCATTCATAATGTCTAAAAAATATAATTAAAATCAACTTGCCGTAGTCAGGTGTATCCATAAAAAAGCCTAATAATTAGCTTATAGAACAATAAACTTTTAATTTCTTACCACAATTTCTCTTGACTGATAATAATCAAAGCCCAAAATGACATTAATAGCAAATTTTGAAGAACAGCTAGTGTGGAAAGTTTTAAAAGTTCATTAGCTTTTTCTACTAATTGAAAAGTACTACTACTAATTTTAACGTTTTGAATGCTTACATTGATATTTGAGGAACAAACTTGTATGCTAATTGAAACCACTAATTTAGTCCATCTAATTTTGAAGTTCTAAATGAAGTTATAGAAATTATAATTTTAATTATTTTTTACTAGTCTATACAACGAGAGGATACCTGACAGTGATATTTGCACCGGTAAATTGTACAATATGATCGAAAAAAAAAACGGCGTCAGCGATGGCTATGAAATGAAGATCGCTGTCATTTTATATGTAAATTTATATGGGGACTGTAATCGATCGCCAGTTCCAAGCCAACTGGACGCCTTTTTTTCGATCATACGGTATTTCCTGTCATTTTTTGGATGTTTTCTGTCGCAATCTATCCAGTAGTGGGATAGCAAAAAAGTTAAATAAGGTATAAAATAGAATAACAAAACATTGAAATAAAAAATTGAAAAATAAAAATGTTCTTAAAAACGACCATAATGCAGTCTAAGTATTTTTATTTGAGCCAAAACATTACCATTCACAATATCAAAACAAGTAAAAATTACGTAAGAAGAACTATATGTTAGCTTTACCTAAAGAATATTATTATCGAAAAAACAAAATAAATATAACAAAAACTTACAATATCAAAGTTGTGTTCCATTTGTAAGAGTGTGATGAGGGCTGGTACAACTTGCTTGACAGGGAACCCAGTCAAAATTTCTTCGTTACCCATGACCAAAACCTGACACATCTCTATGACAGCTTGCAGTTGCTGACCTTCATCGCCCGATGCTTGTAGGCCAGGAATAAGAGCCTGTGCTCTTGCTACAGCTAGAAAAGAAATCAAAATTTATATACATTTTTCGCTATCAAATTATAAAATACTTACAGCTATTGGATCCCATGCTCCTGTGAAGTAGGTGCTGCATGCGAGGCCCTAGCGCCCCAAACAAATGCGGGGGCAAACCCCTGGCCTCGAGCAGAGCCTGAAGACGCCCCACCTCGCTGTCATCGCTCTCAGAATCGGCTCCCGGACCGGATGGCGCTCCTGTGGTCGGTACCGCCTGCGTAGCTTCTTGGGGAGACGGTGGCTCATCGGAAGCTAAAAATTACGATTCATTTTCGATAAAGTCGACATCATACAAATACTTTTTGTTTGATATTTATTTGATGTTTTATTGAAAATGTTCCTAACAGTTTACAGACATGAAAACACAGGTAATGTTTTCTCTCTTCTACTTTCGAATATTATTTTAAAAAGGAGGGTTACCTAAACTGTAAACTAAATCCTTCAAACAATATACAAACTCTATTAAGTTCGGTTGACTATTCATTTTGGTTTTTATCCGTGATTTCTGTCAATTTTGCTAAATCCAGGTGACGTTTTCAACAATATATATGTTACCAGTTATCAAACATACAGGTCATTAAAAACTTATTATTTTATATACAGGGTGGTCCGAGCCTTTTTTGGGCCCAAGAATCCAAAAATGAAATAAAATACTGGGTGTTCCATAAGAAAAAATATAACTATGACATGGATCTTAGTTCTGAGACACCCTGAATATTTCAAAATAATTTTAAATTGTGCGCATTGCCTCCCCACATATACCTATAAAATATTTTGTATCTACATCTTTCCGTTTTCGTATAATCAACCGACGCGAATGAGGTGCGCCACCCTGTATTATTTTTAGTAACAGTAAATTAACGAGTTCCCCCTTAATTTTTCTAAATATTTTAGCAAGTAAGTGCGTATCCTTAATTATAAGTTGTTATATGTATGATTATATGTAGATTTATAAAAAAAAGTCCTTTGTCTCTGGCATAGAAACTGGCGTCGTGGAAGTAGTTCGAGACAAAAGGAAAGCCGCTAAAAAAATCCCCCACGTCCTCCTCCGCAATTTCACGACAACTTTTTATAGATACGTTTTAAGAAATAAAAATAAGCCGAGACGAGAGAAAGTTAGACGAGGAACTGTTTCGCGCATAGTGTAGAGGGTGTTTAAGACTTATTCTAAGAATTACTTAATGTTAGTTTTTGATATGAGTGATTAAATCAGTTTCTGAAAGCTAGGTTTAATACTAACCAGACAGTCCGTTGTTGGGCACGTCGACTGGCGGTTGATCAGCCGCCATGGTCCTCTGCGAGCCCTGCTGCTGCTGGGGGACGGGTAGCAACGCTGGCGGCGGATTTTGCGCCGCTACAGTCGACACGGGCACTGCTGATGCCGCCGCAGCCGCTGCCTTGGTATGGTGGTGCGTCCTGGCGGAGGCCGAGCCGCCCCCGACAGACCTTCGGCCGCTCGCCGCGCCCCCACCGCTAGCGCCGCCGCTCGAGCTGCTGGCACACGAACCCGTTGTTGAGGTACCTTGGCCTGCAAACAAAACGCCGATTAATGGTTGTGCTATCAGATTTTTTTTAGAAAGAACCAATATCCTAAGACTGTTGCCAAATCGAATAGTCACAGGACCTGGTTATCATGAAAAATTATAACAAAATTTGCTTAAACGGCTACACCAAATCTATAGTAAAAAAACTATATACCTAATGGTATACTAGCGAATTCTCAAACTAATAATTTAAGCGACAACGAACTAGTCGTTATACCGTGTGTCTCAAAAGTGGCTCACCCCCTATAACTTTTTTATTTTTTCAGATAAAAAAAAGAAATTTGGTATATGACATTAATTAGGATTGATTGACGTGTTCAATTGTTTTTGGTCACTTCCTATTTTACCGCAAATGACTACAACTTTTTTTTCTTTACTTTATTCGACAAAACATGTCATTCGAGTAGAGTCATCATAGAGTAGAATGACATATCACATGTCAACTTTTGACGTTCTCGCTTAATAAAAAATCGTATTTTAAATTTCAATCTAGAGTGCCACGGCTATGTTAAAAATACTAATTTTTAATCAAGGAGTCTTGGAAAAATAGATTTCATCGTCTAATGTTTTTAGTGTCTTGTCCTGGGCGGCTAAAAGATGCCCAAATCGTATTTTTAATCATATCTCAATTTTTTCTAATGAAACAAGGGTGGCTCATTAGCATATTTGGAAAAAGCATTTTTTTACGAATAATTCGATACAAATTTCGGTATTTCGAGTCAAATTTTCGATATGAACCGCATGTTATAATTTCAAATTAACCATATATGAAAAGTCAAAAGGTGACATGTGATATGTCATTCTACTCAGAATGACATTGTCTATCGAATAAAGTAAAGAAATACAGAGGGTACCATTTAAAAATCAAAAATTGTAGTCATTTCCGGTGAAACAGGAAGTGACCGAAAACAGTTGAATACGTCAATCAATCCTAATTTATGTCATATACTAACATACCAAATCTCGTTTTTTTTACTGAAAAAATAAAAAAATTGTAGGGGTGAGCCACTTTTGAGACGCACCCGGTATACAGTATGACCCCGGATTGTCTTTACAAGAGGAAAAACTTTTTTGTTATCGACATTTTGAGAAAAATACATTCTTCATAAAAATTTTGCTTGTTCTAAAATGGTTTAATCCCGTTTATACTTTTCCAAATTTCCATACCGTTTGATTAAAAAAAAATATGAAAATATGATTGAATTTTTTCCTAAAGAAAAGTCCTAAAAATCAAAAGTAATAGAATTTCGTTTTCATTCTTTGATAGATTGTTATTGATAGAATTTTAATTAACGTCATATTTTTTACTGTTTTAAAATGTTAAAGAAGCCTAAAATAACTTTTTTTTCAAAGGTCGCAAAAGTTTTTATAATTTAAACGTTTGAAATTGTTTAAAAAATTATTTAGTTTGAAAAAATAGCATGTTCTATTCGGAGTAAAAATGACTTTTTGTGGCTCGCCTAAATGTCGTACGTACAGTCTCGTCACAAAAAGTGTCATTTTTGCTCCTAACAAAACAATATACTATTAGTTCAATGCTACGGAAAGGGTAATAATAGTCAAGAAAAATGTGATACTTCAACAATAGCAAAAAAATATCATGTTAATGAAAATTAATAATAACCATCTATCAAAAAATGAATCTGAAATTATATTACTATTGAAAAAAAATCAAGAAAATCAGATTTTTTTGATTTAAATCAGATTTTTTTGATTTTAATTCAAAACAATATTTAAATCGGATTTCCAAATGTCTAGGACTTATTTCCAATTAAAGTCCTATCCTAAATGACTAAATCTTTATAACTCTGGGCGAAACCGATAACATTAACAATTCTACGGCGCGTCATTTTTCCACATCGGTTACCAATATATTCCGCAAAAAAGTCGCTCGCTTCAGATGAAAAGGATTTTTTTTTCAAACGTCTCAAAAGTATTAATTTTTGTTATTTTAATGGCTAGGCATAAAAGCAAAGCACTGTTACGCCTAAGCGCAAAGTACAAAAATATATTATTTAACTGAAGTGTCAAATTCAACGAGTGTACAAATTGTTTCTCGATTACTGTTTGTATTATTTGCAATGTTTGAAATTGATTAAAAAATTATTTGTAATGTTTAAAAAAATAGTGTTTTATTCCGAGTAAAAATGTACTTTATATCAGAAGAACCTAGTTCTGGAACTAGTCTGCGAATGATATGTATTCGAACAGCGAATTTTTGAACAATTTTTGTCACTTACACATAAATTTTAAAATGAATCCCTGCGTTTAGCGGTCTTATGGATTCACACGAAATTGCTTCAAAAATCGGTTCAACATTTAAATTGATTAATAGATATTTTTATATAGTTTTATAAAATTTACAATTATTTTTCGATTTATTATCTGTTATAGAAATATTTTCTATAGTTTTCTAGGACAGATTTTTATAACTTTTACAGTTATTTTTTGATTTATTATAAAGTTTCAATAAAATTATTTTGTTTTTTATTTAAATCACATGATTAAAATTAAAAAAATGATTTAAATCATGCCAACCCTGTTTAAAACCCCTTTTAGTAACAAAAATTGACGAAAAATAAAAATATTTCACTTCGAAAAAAAAATTCATGTGTATATAACTCTTACCTAGTAAAAATCTAAGCATATTTTTACATCAAATTGCACTAAGACCGATATCTTCAAACACATAATTACAAATAAGTTGCGCGTTCTAGACTATATATCACCATATTAGTAAAATATGTCTGTCTCAAAAATGGTACTGCTTCTAATACACCAAGCCAACGACTGAGAAACACCATTCGAAACAGCCAGAACGAAGACTCGGTCGTTTTAGTAAATTAAACTATAACACATTACAAATAATATAAATTCCTAGTATTCGAAATATCATAAACACAATTAAAGACGATTCTGAAGTAAGTTCTGCCGTGAAACGCCTTAATAGCCCCAAACGCCTTAATAGCCCCCAGGTAAATGTTTTTATGAGTCATGTCATAAATAACAAGAGCTAAGTAACCATTGTTACAATGTAGGTAAATGAATTTATAACAGAATTTTAATCTCTAAACCTTATTTAAATAAACTGCTATATTGGGCTGTTATTATAAATGATTTGCTTCTGATGACTTTATTGTTATTTAGGTTCTTTTGTATACAAAATTTCCTTATTCATTTATCCTAATTTTTGAATAAATGCTTCTTATACCTGGTTATAAAGGAGTTACTAGTGTCTAACCGGCACGTCGGGTTCATGAATCTCCTAAATAATTCAACTGAAATTTAAATGTTTATTATTTGAATTCAACCAAGACAGTCTCTAAAGTATTCTTTTATATTATTATACTTCTTCGAATAATATTTAAAAATAACATAATTTTATTAGGTTTAGTTATTTTCTATATAATATGTCATTATCTTTCTAGATTTTAAATTTTAACATGCTTTTCCCAACTATATCCCTTTAAATTTATCTTCTGTAATATCTACTATGCGACAGTAGACAACAATTATAACAAATAATTTTAAGCTTTAGAATTAGAGGCAGATTTTTGTATAAAAATACTGCCAATAAATTACTTACCTCAGCAATTCAGTCAATAACTGCTATGCAATGCACTGAAGCATTGGTATAAAAGTTATTTTCAAAAAAAAATGTTTGCCATATATCTTGTAATAATAAACAAAATATAACGCGCATAAAAATTATTGAAACTTATTGTTTGTCTACAGATCCCATCAGTGTAAACACAGACGCTTAAAAACAAACACACAAAAAGCAGAGAGGACAAGGTAGAGTAACCCCTAAAATGGCAAAACTTGTTTTTTAAATGTTAATTTTCAAGCTGAATAGCATTTCATTATTGGTTTAAAAATATAATTTGGACATTCTAATCCGTTTTGTATTTACTTTACTTCGATTGTAAGTATTTTACATTTGAGACTGTATTAGTATCATAAGATTAGATATAGATACTATCAGGAATATGACGACAGCAAAAAAAAACACTAGAAAAACGGAAATATAGCGTGATTGAATAAAAACGAGGTCACAGTAGTATGCAAAATAATAATACAATTTCAGGGTGGCGCCACCCTGTATGTTATAATATAATAGCAGAGGAAATTGACATCTGTCGCTGTCAAAAAATGGACCCTATATGTATATTGTATTATTACCAGTAATATCAATTTTTGTGTTATGATTATATCACACATGTTTACAAAATATGTCAAGGAAGAGTTCGACAGGTGACATCTAAAAATGACAGAAAATACCATGCGATCGAAAAAAAAACGGCTTTAAAGACGTTGGGGAATACCAATCGTGATAATTATGATGAGGTCAATCTCTAGACGAAATTTACTAAAAATTTACGTAAAACTTGTCAAAAAAATTAACACTAATTATAGAAATATTAAAAAAGGATAGAACATTTTTTCTCGCAGACACACAAATCTCTTTCCAAAAAAATATTTTTCTTGAATTTTAAACTACACCGTTAAAAAAATATTCTTCCTCTATACAGGGTGGTCCGAACTGTATTCCGGAAACTTTGGCAGCATATTTTGCAAATAAAAATAAGTAAAAAATTCCTAAGTATGTATGTCCTAAAATGCTTAGCTTCGGAGATACAGGGTGTAGAAGTTTCATTTTTATTTCGACTTTTTCCAAATAATTTCTGAAGTAACATCAATATTTGGATAAAAATTGGTGTCTGAGGGTTTTTTGACGTGGGAAATTTTATTTTGATGTCAATATGACTCTTATTGTAATGTAATATGACTCTTATTGTAAATGTAAGGGACGTCACCTACATGTGTTTTAACGGTTTCGGTTTAATAACTTTCCGTCCGTACTTGTATAAAACTATTGGGTGAAAAAATATACATTTCCGTAATTTTTTACGTAAAAATGTCTCATAGTGAAAATAGCTACGAGCAACCGTTCTCAATATATTCAGAATGGAAATAGTCAATA